CATTGTTAAGCTGCTAAGTGTATGGTAATTTATCATGCAGCTACAGGAAGGGAATGTACTCCCTCATTTCTCACAGAATCCTGTGAGGTAGGTGGAGAAATTTCCTCGTAGGGGTGAACTTAAGGAATCTGCTCTCCATGTGTCCCATGCTGGAAGGCTGATTAGAATTGAAATTAAAATCAACAGTTTGTGTAGTAATACTTCTAATTTCTAATTTCATTAGATACTAAGTTTTTATACCTAATATCTAATTTTATCTTTACAACGTCCCTTTGGGTGGGTAAGGTAGATATTAAGCTCATTTTACAATTGAGGAAACTGAGGCACAATGGAATCATAATTATTTCCAAGGCCACCCAGTGGCAGAGTCAGAGATCAAAGTAAAGATTCGCTCCTAGTTCAGAACCTCCCTAGGGTGCCAGTGGTAATTATGAAGCATGAAAGGAGAGCTCTCGTTTCTGGGTGCCTACTGAGCTGCTCCTTGATCAGGTGACTCTAGACGAGCCTGCTTGCCTTGAGCTGGCTTCTTTGCCCCTCTCTCCATTTCTCCCATGTCTCCTTAGCCCAGGCACACAGTGCGGATTCAAGGGCACTCAGGACAACATGAGATCCACCCTAAGCAGCTTGTTCAGCCATGTCTGCTCCTCTGAACACTGGTCAGTGTATTGGTCCATTGTCATTATCTCAAAGGTGGTACATATGCTGCTGTCAGGAGGACCTTGTCACCTAAGTCATCCTGTGCCCCCTCTCTATTTCACAGGTGAGTCAACGACTATCCAGAGAAGTCTGACTATGGCACCTTTGATGTTAGCCCTGACAGGCATTATGAGGCTGATTTCAAACAAGTCTTTTTCCCTAAAGAATTCCTTTACCTGGCAGCAGTCCTTCTGCACATCTGTGCCTCTGCAGGTGTTTTCTTTTCACCAACTCTGACCTCTGCAGGGCAGCAGCTTCCTGCCTGCCTGTGACCTGTACCTGCTGGGGCTTCTCCTCACTGACCTCCCTCAGCAGAGGCAGCTGCCTGCCTGCGACCATGCAGGTCTCTCTCAGCAAACCTGTCCCTTTCGGGGCAGCTCTTTCTGCCCGCTTGTGTCTATGCAAGTGTCTTTTACTTTTATGTCCCTTTTCTAATAAACCTGCTTTTTAAATATGAAAAAAAAACTTTCTTTACCTCTTTCAATTGAAATCTTATGATGCCAATTTTTGAAGGAAAAATTTGGTACTCATTTTACTTGTCTGTTTATCCATAGTTAGTAATCTGAGACTTGATTAAGAGGGGACTTTGACTTGAGGCTTTGTGTTTAGGGTTTATCCACAAGTCCTTATTTGCCCTTCTTCTGAGAGGCAGGTATACCAAAACCAAGAAGAAAAAAATCATTTTTGAGGGATAAGTATTGCCCTGATGGGTATTAGAACATCAGGTGCAAGATAAAGTGAGTGGTTTTACTTTTGAACTGACACTTAAGACATTTTCTTGTCTTCAAGTGACAAGATTAAAGGAAACATTCCCTAGTTTGTGTCCCCATGAGATCAGATTATAAACTTGAGGTACCTTGAGGAAATGTGGGAGGAACAATAAACTTTTGGATGTAAGAGATGTCTACATCTTTCACAGAAAATGTTTGATTTTTGAATTTTGAATACTACTTTTATTATTAGTAGCTTTCACATACATGGCACTTCACATAGTCAGGCACATACCTGTGTATCTGGTCACCATGAAAGGAGGAAAAAAAAAAGAACATTTAGGGCCTCCCCGGTGGCGCAGTGGTTGAGCGCTGGGTTGCGAAGCTGCCCGCGGCTGCTCCCCGGCCACCGGAGGAGGGTCCCACATGGCGCGCAGACCTCTCCTGCCGCCCGCTGCTCCCCTCAGCAGTGTACTTCGATCCTTCTACCTGCTCTGCTCCCTGCTCTGGCTCTGGTGAATTCTCTCACCCTCCCGCGCTTCTGACTGTACCCAGTGCTTGTATAAACAAACAAATAAATAAAACATACCTCTATAAAAAAAAATGAACATTTATTGAGAAGTAATTAAATACTTGCAGCAAACCCAGCCCTTCATCTTCATCATGCAGAGCTCCACGCCTATTCACGGTTGCAAATCTTTGGGGAGATGGAAAGATCATTCAATTAGAAATCAGGAGTCCTGGAGTCAAGCTTATCTCTTCACTTATAAAACTGAGATGTGATATACTCTTGTCTTTTCCAGATGTGATCTGCTATGCAAGCCAGCATAGATGAAATGAATGCATAGAAATACCCCCAAAACACAAGACTATATGCTATTATAAAGTTCTTCTCTTTCTCTACTCTTTACCCCTTCCCAAAAGGTTCTCACTCCGGTCTGCTGCTCCTCTCCTGCATCAAACACCACAGGTTCCCCCACCTCCACCCAGGCTAGACCAAAAAGCTCTTTTCTGAATCTTATAATCTTCACTCAAAAAGCAGCATGAATAACTAACTCCTCCTCCTTCAGGAAGACTTCTCTCATTATTCCAGCTGAAAGGACTGCATTGGCACTTTACTGGCTCTCTCAAGATACTCATCTCTTTCTTCAAATCAAATATTTGAGGTATCCTCTTGTCTTCTGACTCCAGAAAGCACCTCACTCATACTAAGGTTTCTCACTGAGTGAATCTTCACTTACTCCTGATGGAGCTGCAGCAGAAGGGAGAGAGCTGTTTTCAGATGTCACATTCTAAGTTTCACCTTTTTCTCTGTCTTTTGTATGGAACATTTCCACTCTCTAGCAGCTCTGTACTACACTCTGGCTCCCTGACATGCAGGCTTCTGTGAGCGAAAGTACACTAACTCCCACAGACACTATGGTCCATGAAGGAAACCCGTCCTGAGTTCCCCAGGAATCATATTAGAAACTTGGAAACACAGTGACTCTTCAAGGGAGAAGAGTCACAAGATTGAACTTGAGGATCTAAAAAGGAAATAGGAAACTCCAGCCAGTGGAATAGTGACTCTAATCCTGCATTTTCAACAGGAACCCAAAAGAAAAATCTAAGGATTCATTAAGTCCAGATGCTCAAAGGGGCAGAATTAATGGCACTCAAAATAAAACCATTTTAAATGTCAGGTCTCAAAAATGAGGGATCTATCACTATTGGAAAAACATTCTTTAAAGCCTATGAAGTATGTGAAGCTTTAAAAGTACCAGTCTTGTTGGCCTTGTGCTTTCAATGACCATAAAGTGGATAACACACAGACACAAAATACCCATTCATCTTCATCTTTAAGACTTTACCTGGGAATTTCCATTTAGTGGGAGTGAATGATCTATTGAGGGCACAGAGGCTTTGGTGTCAAATGGGTGACCTTGTACAAAGAACCAATTCAGGATTACTGCAGCCGAGGACGGTGTGGTTCAACTTCTGTCTCAGTGGTTTACAGGAAGTGCTGCTCAGTGACTGTTTTCTGGGGCAGAGCCAGGAGAGGCAGGTGGAAAGGCTACTGTTCAAATTCTCCACTGTCCTGCTTTGACCTCATCATTCCCTGGAGTAGGCACATGGCTCATCTGGTAAAGTTTGTCAGAAAAAAAATTCCACCAATGAAAACCCAGATGTTAACTGCAAATGGACTTTTTGAATATACAAACTATTCTTTCCTGATTATAAATTACATGAAGAAAAGTTTTACCCAAATCTAAACATATCAACACAGCAGTGATGCCACATGTCTCCACTTTGCCCAGATGAGTAACTGCACAGCAGCACAGTTGTCCTCTGTGCTATCCCTACTCTGCCCACCTTCACTTTATAGTTGTCTTCTGCTGATCAAACCTGCTAATCTAACTTCTGGCAAAATCAAAGGAAGTACAGGTTCATGTGTTCACAAAGCACATACATTCAAAAATATTTGAAATGTCTTTTGCAACAAAAAGGATGGTCTTCGAGGTGATTATATTAAATGAAGTCAAAAAGTGAAAGATTGCGGATGTTTTCACTCATTTGTGGAATATAAATAACCAAAAACCACATCAGATAAAACATGGTAGGAATCAGTCTCAGACTTAAGAGGATTTAATGATTACTGGAGGAAAAGGGGGAGGGAAGAGCAGAGGGAGCAGGGAGACAGATGGGCACTGGCACTGGTGCTTTGGTGGAGATGAGTGGAACATGTGCACACATGGAGGAGTGAAAATGTGGCCCCAAAATTAAAATTAAAAAGAAAGGAAAATATTTTAATCTCAGTTTTTGTGTTACTGGGCTATCAGTAGTAGTTCCAGATGCAATGCTCACAGGATCAAAAGCAAAGAGCACAGTCATTCTGATCTGCCCCGAGTTTTTCAGTGGCTTCTGGCTCCATGATCATGCAAGGATGCCAGGTGCAGACCTTAGCTGCCTCATCTGGAGTGGGTAGTCACTCCTGAGACTGGGCAGATCAGGCCTGCCACAGTGTGGTTCCCCAGCTCTGTGTAAATTACTACGGGCAGAGTTAAGTCCTTTGCAAGGAGTTATTCCTTAGAAAGATATGGCTCCATAATCACACTCTTTCCAGATGTTACCAGGTTCAATATTTATAAACGCCATCCTATCAGAATGAAGTGCAGGCAGCTCTTCATTGGAGAATCATCAGCTTACCATAGTGGACCTTGGAGCCCAGCCCAAGCAGGTCATCAGGAAAGGGGCAATATTGGTGGCCAAGCTCTGTTATCCTCATATCACCTCATCAGTTCTGTGGTGCTAAGGGACCATGTCAGAGAATACTGCTGTGTCATGTCACCAGCCACTGTCTGGTTGTACTTTGTGTAATGCCACGCACTTAGCATTTCACATAAACAAAGTTCCCTTCCTGCAGGGGTCACTACCTTAAAAACTGAGGTGTCACCATAAGCAATGTCTATGAGAGATTCAATGAACAAGTCTTCCAATTCACTGTGTTCACATTATCCCCAAACCTGTCTGATGGGGGAGCAGGCCAGAAATCACACTGATGACACAAAGGTAAAGGGTACTTCTAAAAAGACAGGCCAAGTACAGGACAAACAGGATAATTTTATTCTCCTTTTTCCTTAAAATAAAGATACAGCATAAGTTTTACAATTCAGTATGATTAGACATGATTTATAATTTTAACATTTCTTAAACAAATCATAAGAGAAACAAAGAAGTAGTACAAATTATAAAATTACTAGAGCAAAGAGAAACTTCCTTTCTCATCAAAACATGTGCAACAGATAAACTTCCTTAGAAAGGGCTTGTGGAAAACCTTTAATTTCAAATATTTAAGCAGTTTTTTGTAACCATGAAATGCCTCACCAACTTGTTAATCAAATACTTCCTAAGTTTAGGAACCAATGACCAAATGATCTGAAACATTTAAGTCTTGATCCTATTTTGCCAGCTATACATTATTAATATTTCAAGAAAACAAAATATTTTCTAAGTACAGAAGCTTTCTAAAAACTTCAATTACCTTTTCTGGCTCAGTACCTGGCTGAAATGTTCAAATGTTTATATTGCACACAAAAAAAATTTGAGCAGCATTCTCTATGTGTGTGTGTGTATTTGTGAGGGAGAGAGAGAGATAGAGAGAAAGAGAGAGAGAGAGAGAGAGAGAGAGGCTGATGCAAAATAAGATTGGAAAAAATCCCTAATTGTGTCCCATTTACATGATTTAAATATATAGTTTCTATATCTTCAATTAATTTAAGTAAAAAGGTAAACTTTAGAACAGCACAGAAATACAAATGCAATAGAATTTTACAAAATAGATTCAACCCCTTATACGTGCACAATCTTTTAACTTTGTATACAAGGGAGCTAGTTTATTGTTCATAATGAAAGCAGGAAGTCATGTGTACGAAGTTATTTATATGAAAAGAGTAAAGATCCACATTCCTTTTCTTTGTCTTTGACAAGTATTTATGGAATGTTGGAAATTATGAAAAAACAATTCCAATGTTACGAAGTACAAAGACCTGGAATGGAAAAACTTAGTGGCACATTATGCTACATGGAATGACAATCACCTTCTAGAACTAGGGCTTCATTCCTGATCATGTTTAAGAGCCACCAAGGAAGTGGGTGGAAAGGCCACGATGCCGTGCCACCTCTGGTTAAAGAATCCCATTATGCAAATGCCAATGCCACTTCAAGAGTCCCTACCAACTTCATGATACAATAATAGGCAACATTTAACAGCTACTGTCTGAATGGGCTACTTTCTTAAACTGCTGTGGTAGAGAAAAAGCTCATGTGGTTCAGAAACAACCCACTGGTCCCACAGAGCTGAGGGCACCCAGTCTTCTCACCAGGCCTGAGGAAGAAGAACCACAGGCTGTAACTTCCAAAAAACATCAAATGAAAACCAAACCTTCCTGCCAGGGAGATAATGTTACAGCTTCACTATAAAACGTGTAACTAGCAGATTAAAATTCCAGCATTTTTGCAAAAGAATTCTGTAATCTTTAGTATATTCAATACTGCTCTCAAAATACTTTCACTCAGATTTTAAGTACCTTGGTTCAACGGCGTTGCAACAACTTCTCACTTCTTTCCCTTCTTAATTGCTTTTTGTCTTTCCAAAGTAAATCATTCTCAAAAAAAAAAAAAAAATTAATACAGAACTTGGAAAGCAAGGTAAGGTTGAGGAAGTGATGTCATATGCTTTGGTTTGCTGCCCAAGGATACTGCTGCTGTGTTTCCTAAAGCACGAAGTAGATGAGAATTGTTTCAGGCTTGGGAACTAGTAAAACACTAATGGATGTGGGCATAGACTATTCATACTGGTTATGTAGCCAAATGCATATGTAAAATAACTCTAAGCTTTACCTTGACATGCAACTTTTTCTGTTCACCTGGCTTTAACTCTCCTTTCCTTTTCTATGTTGTTGCCATTATAATGTCTGGCAGGACTCCAAGTATGCCAGGAACTTTTCCAAACACTGCTTTTAAGTCACTTAGACAGCTGTGAGGCCACACCAAGCTACAGCTTCAGTCTCTGTGCCTGGCACACCATGCAAATGCCTGGCTGGACCCTGGCTCCCTTATGCCTCCTTAACAAACCCCCGGTGCTTGGACACAAAGGCAATGGAGAGAGTGTGGCCAACCAAAACACACAACTTTGTCAGTGTGGCCCAGTGTTGGTTCCTAGGGCTGCTCAGAGTCAGGGATTGGAGGGAGGCTACGGTTTGTGAGCTGGTCACTCAGCTGGATCCCGGAACCTAAGCTGGAAGTGGCCACACTTCCTGCCTTCAATTGTGCTGGCCGCCTTGGGGCCCTTGCCGTTGCTCCCTGAAAACTCCAGCACCTCCTAGAAGGAAACACAGGTATAGTCTGTTGACCATTTCTATGACAAATGTTCTCCCTCTGAGATGTTCATTTTATGTTGAAAGTCAGTTAAGTGATCATTTTAAGAGTTAAAACTCTTAACTAGAAACATTAATACAAAGTTTAATTAAGGTCTATACTAAAATGGGGGAACAAGTGATACTAAAAGTTAAACTTCATGTAACTATTTTTTGTTTCAGTGGGATTCCCAAATGTGGATTGGACTGCTTTTGAATTAGGGAGAGATGGGAGTTTACCCCAACTATATAAACCATACAAACTACCACATGAACCAGCAGCTTACGGCTGAGCCCTCACAGTGAGCTCTTAGCACTGTGAACTTCTGGCAGCTGAGCTACTAACTGCACACGAATACACTATCTCACACTCCAACTGATGATGTGGCCTCATGAAACAAGATGTTGGAATGAATTCTTTATAGTCTCAGTGCAACACTGATTAAAGAACCTTTTAAGGTTTGTTTGGTATTACTTTCTTCTCTTCAAATAGTATTTCCTGAGGTTATCTTTCCTAGAGGAAGTGGAATTAATGGAATTTTCACAATAAGCCCTTTTATTTATCATTACTAAAGTCTTGAGTTATGTTCAAATGGAAGCAAGCTTCTAGATTTGCTGGACTTGTGTCAAAACACAAATTGGATAATTTAGAGATATTTAGATTATTTCCCTATGTTCAGTCACATGCCCTAAGAGGGTTTACTTACATAAACATTTCTCAAAGGATAAATCAAATATAAATAGGGTCCTTGTTAAGTAGGCCCCTTATTTCCCAATATTCTTTATAGCACACGTATTTTATACTCACAATGTATTTTCCAAATATCCCATTACAGAAACAGCAATCTGCTCCTCATAAGTACTCCCTGAGATTACCCATCCAAAGTCCCCTTAAAAAGCAAATGAGAGCTGATGAGATTCAGTTGTTAAAAATCTTCAGTAACTAGCACACATTTGCACAGGTCTAAAATGAAACCAGATATGCTTTATGAAACACAACTGATCTCATGGATGTAGTTTTCTTCTCTCGCCTCTTGCTTTTCTAAATGTGAGCTAAGACAAGACTTCTACTTAATATTTATGGATCATTTTTTTAAAATAAATACTTTCAGAAGAGGGTAGGGATTGATTGCAGGAGTATTTTTGGTCAGGGAAAGCCAAAAGCCTGGAAAAGCTTTATGAAGAGTAGGTCAAGAAAACAATTTGCAGGTCTGTAAACACCCAATGGAAAACTGTTTAAAAGAAGAAATAGAAGGCACAAACTTTGGATTAAAAAATGCCTGTACAAGACCGCAACATGACTAGAGTTGACAGAACTGACACGTAGGTGTTTAAAACCTTGCCCTAAATGCATATTCATGTTAAACTGCTCCAACACTAGTAAAACTGTCACTATGCCATTTTTCTGCACACTCATTTGCACAATTAGGAAGAAGAAAGCATAATGACTCCTTGATGACTCAAAGCAAATATTTAAGAATAGGGAAAGAACAAGTTAAACACGTGAAACAAAATATTCCACTCCAACCTCAGAACTGCCATCCCTTGACTTTCATGATTTTGGGAGGAAGTGAGCTGATGAAAGTGTTTTGTGATCAGAAACCAACAAAAGAATTAAGCAAAATATAATTGTAATTAAGCAAAATATAACAAAGGGCTGGACTGTATGACCTCTTAACTTTATAAGCACATTTTAGGGTCAACTTTAGAGAAATTTAAATAGTAATATAACTTAATTTTAGCAAATAGAAACTACATCGACCATCTGGAGAGTCAAATAGCAAAACAACAAAATTTACACAAGTAAAAACTTTTCTAAAGTAAACAAATGTATATATCAAACTCAAAATTCATTAGAAGGTTCACTGTGTGTTTTAATCAGGCTCAGATTGAAATAAAAGTAGTCAATTTAAACCCCAACCTCGAAAGCCATCCCTGCTTATGGTTGTGATTTCATCTTTCCAGCATCCGACGACGTTCATTTAGACTGAGGGCACTGTCCATGTAAACAGTTCGACATCTCAGGCCCCTGCTGTGGACCTGTGGCCAACGAAGAGGAACAGTCTGGGATCAGCAGACAGACAGGGAACTCTTAAACCTAAGAAAGCAATAGCAGTCTTCGGATTGCTTCTCAAGGCTTCCCTTCGGGCGGCTCGGTGAGACTCTGGGGGGTGGAGTTGGTGAAAGTAGAAAGCCAGGAAGACATAGCTGTCTTTGCACTGGAAAAAGCTCCTCCAACTGACTGGCCTGGATGTAAGGAGGGAAAAACAAAAGGAAAAATGTCTTCATTCTTGTTAAATGATAGTGAAACACCAATGCTAATTAATAAGTATTAGCTTATTGTAATACATTAATAGTTACCAAATATCATTGAAATTTCTAGTTTGAAAGCAATCCTTTTTCCATGGAGATGTCTTAAAGGAAACTGGATAATTTCTGTGTAAAAGTCTCTCCAGGCATCTGAGGGTATCCAGTAAACTCCTTTCTTAAAACCTACATGTAAGTCAGTGGTTCTCAACATTGGCTGTGTGCTCTGAATCCTTTGGGGCGCTGAAAAAGTACCATGGGCTTTCTGTACACTAAACCCAAGTTGGTAACTGATAATGGCCCACACAGGGAAGCGTATGATTAGGCTTCTGTAAGGAAATTTGCCTTTTCTTTTTTTTTAATATTTTTTTTTTCAAAAAAGATTATTTATACAAGAACTAGGGTACAGGTCAGAGGCGCAGGAGGGTGAGAGAATTCACCAGAGACAGAGTGGGGAGCAGAACAGGCAGACAAACCAAGGACACTGCTGAGGGGAACAGTGGGCAAGGCAGGAGAAGTCTGCCATGGCATGTGGGTTATCTCCTTGGCTGGCCAGGATTCGAACAGGTGCTACAGAAGCTGCGGACAGCTTCATAGCATGGCGCTCAACCTGCTGCGCCACCTGGGGAGGCCCAGGAAATTTGCTTTTTCATCTAAAATGATGTTGCAACAAGTGAAGATGTCTATCTGCCTCAGGTCAATTTTGTTAAAACAAAATGTTATTTAAAAATGGCATTATGGGGCTTCCCCGGCAGCGCAGCGTGTTGAGCACAGTGCTGTGAAGCTGTCCGCAGCCTCTGCAGCGCGGGTTTGATTACTGGCCGGCCAGGGAGATAACCACATAGCGCAGCAGACCTCTCCTGCCTTGCTCAATGCGACCCTCAGCAGTGTCTTTGGTCTGTTTGCCTGTTCTGCTCCCCGCTCTGTCTCTGGTGAATTCTCTCACCCTCCAGCACCTCTGTCCTGTACCCTGGTTCTTGTATAAAAAAATGGCATTATGTCAGACACTGAAGATAAAGTGAAATGACAAGCTGAATCATATATTCCCACTATTTTTGAAGAGAACTGGCATTAGGATTTATGTAGCAGCATCTATATGTAGCAGCATCACTGGTATACTGACGATAAAGAAGGAATGTGTAATAACTCAAATCTGTGCCCGGTCAAAGGCATGCCTTACCAACAGCTTTTCCTGTTTGTACAACATTCCGGCTGGTTGTGACCATGACACTTCCAATTTTTTTGCCACGTTCACTGTTTTGAACAGAACTGAGTAAAGGAATGAAGTGTTAAGTACAATTTTAAAATCTCTCTTTCTCTCACACATACACACACAATAACTACTTTATAAGCATTCCAAATTACCATTGAGAAAAAACTAATTATTCATTATTTGCTATGCATAAATTAATGTATGAACATTTTAAGCATATGATTTTTTATAAAATATTAAAAGATGCAAATGAGCCAAAAAGTGATAAGGACATAAGAATGTATGGTTAATTCTCCCTAGTTATGATTTGCTAAAGTTATTTCACCAGAATAAATATGGTAGATCTTGTTATTAATTCACACCACTCTCCATAGAACAGCAGTGTTTTCACTTTGAAACATACACACTGCTGAGCTAGAGAACGTTATGCACATATTTGGTTACTATTTGAAGCACAAGTCTAACAAGTGAAGAGAAACAATTCCCAATTAGCACAGAAACACATGGCATAAATTCAGACATAAGACGTTTCCTAGTATTTTCTTGAAATACTCACTGTGAGAATCTTAACTTCATGTCTGACACTGAATACTGGCCTTGAAATGGATGGCTGTAAAACAAAGTTTGGTTTCTACTATGAATATTTCACTGATAAAGCTGCAAAAGCGTTATCACAAGGAAGGACTGGTAAAACCACTGATGTGACTCAACTGGGTGGTGGTGCTATCAGGAAATGGAGTTTGGTTTTTTTTAAAGATTTATTTATTTATGCATACAAGAAGTGGGGTACAGGACAGAAGTATGAGGGGTGAGAGGATTCACCAGAGACAGAGTGGGGAACAGAACAGGCAGACTGATTGAAAAACACTGCTGAGGGGAGCAGAGACAGGAGGGTAAGACAGGAGAGGTCTGCTGTGCCATGTGGGTAGCTCCCTGGCCGGGGATTGAACTCATGCTGCAGAGGCTGCGGATAGCTTCACAGTGCTGTGCTTAACCCCTTGCACCACCAGGGAGGCCCAGGAAATGGAGTTTTGATCGCAGCTCTCCACTTCCAACTATGGGAACCTATGCCAGCTTTCCTCACCTGTAAAATAGGGTTTGTTTGTTTTTTTTTTTCCTTTGGCAGGGCCCAAGCATCAACATATTTTACAAGTTCCTCAGACAGTCAGGGTTAGAACCACTGCGTTATGCCCATGGATTATACTTTAAATCTCATAAATGTGTCCTATTTGTAGTACAAAGATTTCTGTGGACAGATCAGCAGAATCTGTACTTTCTATTAGAAAAGCAACTTAAAATGCAGGTCTTAAAAATATTCAAAGGGAAAAAGTATAGATATTAAAAAAATAGGCAACTTGACCAAAGCCACACAATAAAAGGAGTTAATAAGTAGCTAAATTCTTATCTCACGCTTGGGGTCTAACAAAGAAAGTGACCCTTATGAAATCTATAACTACTACAAAAACCTCAAAATGCTACTTACAGCTTTTCAAATGATACCAATTTTTTAAAAATATATATATATTTTTAAGATTTATTTATTTATACAAGAACTGGGGTACAGGTCAGAGGCGCGGGAGGGTGAGAAGATTCACCAGAGACAGAGTAGGAAGCAGAACAGGCAGGGAGCAGCGGGCTTGGCAGGAGAGGTCTGCCGTGCCATGTGGGTATCTCCCTGTCTGGCCAGGAATGGAACCCGCACTGCAGTCTGCGGGCAGCTTCACAGTGCTGCACTCAACCCAGGAGGCCGATAACATTTCTTTAAGCATATTAACAACTTTTTTCTTTTGATTTCCTGAAGCACAGGTTGAAAAAATTTGAGGGATTACTTAATCATTTTCTGTATTCCTGGAAAAACTGCACTTAAAGGATGAGATGTGTCCTTTTAACAAAAATTATGTATATTGAGATAACACTGGTTTATAACACTGTATGTTTTAGGGGTATAAGTTTACATCTCTACAAATGTATTCTATGACACCGTGCCCATGACCAGCGTCCCAATACTCTTCCACCATAACCCATTGGACCTCTGCCTGCTTAGCTCCCAGTCCCCCACCCTCCTGTTATGGTAGTCTCAGCTCTGCAGTCTGATATCAAGGCTTTGTTTTGCTTTTGTCTATTTCTTTACTTTGTTTTTCATATACCACATGAATGAAATTATTTGAATTTTTGCTTCTGATTTATTTTGCTTAGCATAATCCCCTTTAGTTTCATCCACGCTGCAAATATCTGTCTGCTGCTTACTAAGGGAAGTTAGAGAACTGTCTTCTCTGATCTCCAGGAGTTAAAGAAAGGCTTCATGGATGTCAAATCATATGATTTACTTGGACTATTTCTAAATTATACCCCCCTGATAACAACTGAAGACTATTATTTGTTTTTGACTTGGTGAAAACACTGAAAATCTGCTCTTCTCTCTATAATTTTCCTACATATTTATTTCGGGTACTTCTTTAGCTTAAATCTAAATAATTTATTTACACAATTTAGAAAGTACTGTTTTATAATCCTTTAAAACTGTCACACATAAGCCTTTTAAGAACCTATATTAAAATCTATAGAGCTTTCCATACGGGCTAAGGGGGAAGAAATCCTATACTGTGAAAAAATGAGCAAGGATGTAAAATAAGGGCATTTCATTAAAAAAAAAAGAAAGACATCTGCAGAGTTGTTAAAGTTAAAGGCCCTAACGCAGATGCAGTGGCTGGGTAAAAATCTGACCAGTCTCTCCATGTAGAGTAACGGGATGAGGCTAAGAAGCTGCCCCTGCTGCGGGTCATGGCAGATGTGACTGGAGTCCTGTTATTATGAGCACCACTAGGAGAACAGCTGTTTCCCTTCACATCTGTTTCCCTACATCACTCTTTAGAACACAGACCTTGTGGTTAGTGAGGGAGATTACTATGAATTGTTTCTTAACTTTCATTTAATACTATTAAAATGTTTTTGCCTTCTAATTCTGTTTTTAACCACATTCGTTTCTGTAATAGCTCAGTATGATGATTAAATTTACCAAAATCAACACCAAACCATCATTTCTCTCAACGGAGGATATAAAGTTGGACATGACAACTAAAATCCCACTGCATCACCTCATTCTTGTCTTGCAGATGCCTCCCCAAGTTACTATGTCATAAATATCTGGATTTTGTGTGCGTACTCATATATGCTGTCTAGCGCCATTTAAATCACACCTCCAGTCTGGTAAAATTAATCCTAGCTCCCAAATAATATTGTATGCAGTACAAAGTTGATTTTGTCTGCTTCTCACCAAGAAGTAAAAGTTTAAAATACAAATGAGGTCTCCCTGGTGGCGCAAGGGGTTAAGCACCGCACTATGAATCCTCACCCTCCGCATCTCTGGCCTGTACCCCAGCTCTTGTATGCATAAATAAATAAATCTTTAAAAAAAACACAAATGAAAACACTCAGTGTATGGGTACATCACTGAAAACACAATTATTTTAATCTTTTAATTTAGAAAGTAAGTTCCCAGGGTATACAATACATTACATCATTTGATCTCCAGCTTCACTCTGTTCCATTCACACAAATGGTATTACTTCATAACTGCCTCAATCCACAGCATGTTTAAATGTATTACACCTCTACTGCAACAGACATTATTTTTTTTTTGGATTTTAGAACCTGATGTGGAAACTAGGTTTTTCGTCCAGGAGTTCAAATATCAATTTTAGTTTTTAAATTTCATGTTTTAAAAATAATGTCTCAGGGACGTAGTGCACAATATAGGTGACTGGAGTCAATAATATTGTACAGCATATTTGAGGATTGCTAAGACAAATACTGAAAGTTCTCTTTATGTGCAAAAAATTTATACCTTTCTATGGTAACTACATTTATTGTGGTGATTGGTAATGTACACAGTGAGTCATCATGTGGTACACCTGAACTAATATGCTATGCATCAATTACACCTCAATAAAAAAATAAAATAACCTTTCAGATTTAACATCAGCAGTATTTTCTTGGAGGCTTCTATCTTGTTTGACCATTCTGTTAAGACATAGCTCTAGAGAAAGGGAGAGAAGAACCACTGTGCATTGAGCATCACTTGTGCCAGGATTTTCTCTCTGAACCATGCTGAGGGCTGGAAGAAATGTTAGAGCTTCCAAAAACGCCTTGAGTTTTCTGTGTAAGTGGTGTGACTAGGGAAGCAGTTTTTAGCTGTTTTTCTGTATGTGGGGCTCTTTTAATCATCTGTTTAAGGAGATTCTGTAAGATATCCACGATATCATCAAAGTTAAGTTATAATTTCCTTATATTGGGCACATTTAGTATATCAACTACATCACAGGCTCTCCATCAATCTTCAGAGGATGTACTTACTTTGGATTTATTTCTGCAAGTGCTGGATGCTTGTTGCTGTTCCAGACCCTGTAATTGTGAGTGTTCTTCCATGCTGTAACAAAGGTTGTGCCATAGTCCGATAGTATCTTTTCATTATCTGTTAAGTAAATATTTAAAATTTGAGCTGGACTGCGGTCAATCAGGGACGTAAAGATTAACAACCAAAAAAGGTAAAGGAATGGCTTTGCCGCTCCCCCTCCCCGCAAACGCCTGCTTTTTTATTGGGGAGGGGGAAATCTACCAGATATCAGGAAACTTGACCCTAGTTCCAGAAATCCTGTGAAAGTTCTGTGACCTAAAGTAACTTCCTTTTCCTAACTGGAAAATAGAGGGCCAAACCAAATATTTTATAAGGTTCCTTACAATTCCAAAATATTTCCACGTTCTGCTTACTGAAGTTAGGAAGCATTGTCTTATTTATTAAACAAAAACTATGGACTGGATAATGAGTAAACATACTGATGAACACATATGGGCTAGGTATAGTATCTTTCTGTCTTTTCACAAATCTCATTTTTCTATGGAGAAAGATTAAGGATGAATACATGACTTGGTTCTTTAAATCACACCTTCTGTTCTGTGGATTTTCTCACTAGTTGGTAAAACTCACTTTCAAGTTTCCATGAATTTCACTGTCAAAATAACAAGGGGATTTTCATATCTAATGTTTAAAACTTTTCGACTCTGTCAATACCATGTGGAAGCTACCAAGATGCATGAAGAGCATTTCTTCTACCTGGAAGGCTAGAAAAAGTTGGGAGAAATGATGCATATTGCTATTGCTTTATATATGAATTGCACGCTGCTTGCTCTGAAGGTAGGATCTGTGTCTTTTGTTGTTGGGAGAGAAAGAGAGGATAGATGTGTCTATATGTAAATAATGCAGCATATGGAAGTTCTTTTAAGAACATATTTCTCAAGCATTTCTAGGGCTGAATTTCTTCTTTGACATGGTTAACAGCATGAGCCTGAGTCAGACTGCTTGGGTTTAAATTCTAGGTCAGCCTCATCCAGACAGATGAGCAAGTCTATTTAACCTTTGTGTGCCTGGTTTCCTCTTTTGTAAATTGGGGATGACAGGAATCTACCTTTATTTTTTGTGAAGAAGAAATGAGACAGTAGATACAAAGTGCTCAGAATAGATGCCTGCACACATGAATTTCAAAAAAAAAAGGTAATAAAAAAATACCAAAAAAGGGTAGCTACTGTTCTGTGCTTACAACTACCTCGACAAATCTTTTTAAAAAGTAAATTAATTAATAATGAGGCTACCTGACTAGAAGAGACTAGGGTTTTCTTATTAGATTACTGAATGATTCTGGCTTAGAGAAATTACCTTTTATTTCTTAGCTGCCACATTTGTAGAAGAGGCAAATATTTAAAAATATACCAATAACAAAAAAGAACTTGTCCCATAGCTCTCCTTTAGAGATGAAGAACATGCCCGAAGCCTGGGTTTAAGACTCCCTATACACTCTGTGTATAACTAACCTGGGAGTGGTAGTGGTAGGACTGATTAAGAAAATCTAATGACACTACAATGTGCATGTACTTACTGCCACTGAAAGACTCTACACTTAGAAGTGGTTAAGAGATAAATATTAGGTTATTTGTATTTCATCATAATTATTAATGAAACCCCCAGAAAAAAAGGAGGGGAAAAGTTCAATAACAGCAAATCTGCTGCATATTTACTAAGTGTCCTGGGAGGTAAGTGTCCAAGATGAGAAATCTCATTGCAGAGATTCATTTCTCTTTATATATCTCTGTATGTATCTATAGATACATACAGAGATATATAATGAGGTCATTTTAATATAGGAGCAATTTATGTTTACTTGTACCATTTTAACCATTTAATAGGAATAATAATTCTTAGAATGGGGCATGAATTTGAAGGTTTAATCCTTCAGAATGTTATTTCCAATGATTTTTGTCACATTTCTCTTTTGTCCCTTTATCTATCTTAAAACATGTAAGCAGTATTTATAAATAACCCCAAATACTGACATATGGTTCCATATATGGAATACTAAACAGTGACATAAAGGTGTGAAAGAGCTGTATTTATTAATAAGAAAAACTAAGTTTTAAAAAATGTGTAATGGGAATAATTCTTATTGAAGGGCCACCTTGAATAAGGGTGGCTATCTCTGTGTGAGGGAATAACAGGGAATTTTTCTATACAGAAGGTATATTTTTTATACAATTCAAAACATCACAAGTGCTACAAAGTGAAAAAGTGGCCATGTGTTTCTTACCTAACTGCAGCGTGGCAGCCAGCAGTGCGTGGATGTAGACTGCAAACTGAGCTCGGATCCATTCGTCACCTCCTTCCCAGCCTGTGCCATCTAGGAAGACGTCATCCCGGTTCTCTGTCACGTGCCTCACTAGGTAATCTGCAAATCTTAGGTCTGCAGTAGTTGGGTTAAGCAGCTTCTTGAGTTCTGGATCATGGATTTGGATCAGCGCTTCTTCTACCTAAAGGGTACCCAGGTACAAGTAAGAGTCTGGGCATTCACGCAGACCTCCAAGCTACACATTAAAGAGTGAACTATTGGGAAGTTGGAGCTGGAAATAAAAAGTAGGAATAACTACATCCTCAAATGATGACTCTAAGAAAGATACAGGTTTTCACACTGTAGTTTGTTTCCTTTATTTAAAAAATTGCTCATTTTCTGTTTTTAGAGAATATAAGCATAGATTTATAATTTTGAATTAAAAAAGTAATTCAATGATAGTAAATATTTCAGAAAATATAGAGGCATATAGTAAAAACTATCTTAATCACCAATTAGCAATATACACAATTAACAACTATAATAATCCTTAACATTTTTTCTTTGAAGGCATAGAAACACTGGAGTATTTTTATTATATAAAATTGGAGATACGAAGAAAGAAACATAATTTACTATTTTGAAGTATAATGATAAAAACAAATACCTATGACTCTCCACCCAACTTCAACAGTAGTACATAACCAGTAATGTTGACTCAACCCTGTGGTCCTCCCGTCTGTATTCTCCTGCCTCGGAAGATATATATTTTCCTTTCTCAAAATTAAGATCATAATACATATAGTTCTGAATCCTAGATTTTTCATTTATTATATTATGAACATTTTGTCAGAAACATGTCTTAGTACTTTCCGTCAGAAACTACAAAAACATTAGGTCATTGAAAATTTAAAAAATTACTTCAATTGTGAAAATGAACAAATGATTTAAATTTTCATATATTGTTATGGTGGCAAGAATTTATCCATAGCTTTCTTCCTCTTGATAACAGGAGCTACTAAATAATATAGAAGTATTTAAACTATTTGAACAATAAGCCCATTTTAATTGTGAGATTGTAGTAGGACCACCTTGCCTGGGTTGGAATCCTGCCTCAACACTTAGCAGCGGTTTGAGCTCTTTGTTCCTTAGTTCCTGCAGGTGTAAAATAGAGACAGTAATAAAATCTATCTCAAAGGTTATGAAAATAAACCTAAGGTGTTTATAATGCCTAGCATACAGGAAACAATGCCTTCATAATTACATTTAAGAAAGGAAAACCGGGACCAGCAGCATCAAGGACACACGCTCATACGTACACCTACTTCCACAATGGCATCACTGAGGTGTTTCTGTTGTCGGAAAAGGATGTTAGTAGCTCCAGCAACAAATCCCCGGACGGTGACATCAGAGAGAAGATGATGCTGCTGCAATGCCATATAGGGTAAACACAGGTATCCCTATAAATTATGAGTAAATAGGAAACATCAGAAAAGTGATGCAATAGCTACCTCTCTCTCTCTTCTAGAGACTAATCATGGGAATGGTAGCTAAGAGTAGAAGAAACTCCCAAGCTACCCAATCCCATGCCATTCCTAAAGCAGCTAATCTTTAACTCACTACAATTATATTCCAGGGGAACCTTAAGTTAAGTTCAGTTAATTGCTAATGTTGCTCATGAATGGTCAAATCTTGACAAGGTCATTTAACATGAGGGCTGTCTTACGTGATCACTTTGTTCTTGGTTCAATTTGAAAGCCTCCACAGTAACTAATGAGCTGAACTTTTTCATTTAGGAAATGAAGTATTAAGCCCATTTAAAGTATATTGTCTGGGGGCCTCCCTGGTGGCGCAGGGGTTAAGACACAACCTATGAAGCTATCCGCAGCCACTGCAGCTCAAGCTTGATCCCTGGCCAGGGAGCTACCCACATGGCGCAGTAGACCTCTCCTGGCTCACCCTGCTGCTCTCCCCAGCAGTGTATTTCAGTCAGTCTGCCTGCATTGTTCCCCACTCTGTCTCTGGTGAATCCTCTCACCCTCCACACCTCTGGCCTATACCCCAGTTCCTGTATACATAAATAAATAAATCTTTAAAAAAAAAAGTATATTGTCTGGTAGAAAGCTGTTAGTTCTTCCAGTAAAAATTTAAAACACATGCATCTGGCCATAATCACCAAAGTACTATTATGAAAGTAGCAAAGCACTGCACAAGGTATTTCACTGTGCTACTGTTAAAAATAATGAAAAACATTTTAAGATATTTGCTATTAAGTGTTTAAAGCAAAAATGATCCTGAGTAGTTGTGTGTTTAACTGAGCATTATTGTTGAATTGTCCAATCATAGCAAGCAGTCGGGTGTACAAAACCCAGCATATTTCCTGAGAATAAAAGTGTTAACATTGGAATGATGTACAAAAGGAAGAAATTAAACTTCTGCTGAAAGACTCTACATCAAGAAGATTTTTAGCAAGTGGCAAAATTTGTGTCTGAAGCCAGTAGGGCAGATGTGCTGTTTCTGAACTTGTTTTTAATCTCGAGTTCTAGGATAGAGTTTTAAAACTTGACATCCTTAAAAAAAAAATTGGGAACACTCTCTAGGGCAGAAGATAGACCTCTTGTTACTTCATGCTCTTCACTGCATCTGGGATAGGTATTAAACACTTAATATGGGAGAAGACTTCGAAAAGTTGGAATACAGGTCTATGGATTTGGTTTTATTCTTATTCTTGATAATGTCTTTACCAGATCAATCAAACTCTGTAACAGCAGCAAAAACAAATACAAGTCCAGGTAATAGAGAGGCTACAGTGCTTCTCAACTGGTGCCCCTCTGGTGACTAAAGGCTGATAGAACCCCAGTTCCTCATTCAGAATTAGTTAAAATAGCTGGTTCACTTAAGGTTCATGCTCTGCATGGGCTATGTATTCAGAAACCAAAGACTCCCTTTCTTCCCAACTACTTGTTTCTAAACACGTCAAGCTGTCAAGTTATTTATAGGTTCCCTAAAGTTTGAAAATGACAACCTGCAAGTAAGCAAATCAAATACAAATTCAGGAGCAACACATAAAGGAACTTTAATATGTGTGGGAAATAAAAAACTCAGTTTCCACCTACATGAACTTTTAACTTTCATAAATTCATCATTTTACTAAAAATGTTACAAACTGAAGTTTAAGAGAATTCTAAATTAAGTCATCTTCTGGTGGAGGCAATGAATATTTAAAAAAGTATCAGATATACGTAATTAAACTAAGAAATAGCTGCTGATCTTTTAAAACATGCAAAAAAATCATGTTGAAAACTTTTTCAGTGATTTGCCTAAAATTATCTTCCTTATCCCTCAAATACTAATAGTGAAAAATCACTTTTATTTAATTAGAGTGAAGTTCCTTTGAACCAGAGTTCCATTTATGGTAAGATTCAATTGATTTTTACTAAATAATAAATATTATCTCATAATTGGAAAAGAGGAGAGTGAAGGTGTCTCAGCAGATTAAAATAAGCCACTATCCTAAATCCAAGGTCCTTTCTGGCTGGCCCTATTCTGCTTTGCAACAGGGTATTGCCAATTCTATATTGCTCTCTTTCAGAGAGAGGACAGAAGATTACAATCAGCCCTCAGGACTGATTTTTCACATCCGAAAATAGTTACTCTAACTTCCTCTTTTATCTCTCTTCCATTTCCTCATCCTCCTTTGACTTCTCTCTAGTGACAGAATGGAGTAGTACCTCAGTATATATATATCACACAGGTACAGTTCATTTTCTAATTTTCTTCCTCTTTTTGGGCTACCCTATTCGTTCTCCTCACCCTTGGATGCCTGACAGTTTGCATCCAGTCCCCTCTCCTCTCAGCGCCTGTTTCTTCTCTACACCTCCTAAAACAGTTTTCAGCAAAGGTACAAACATATTTTTGAATCCTAGTATCTATGGCATATATACAGTAAGTCTCATTTTTAAGATTGACATCCTCAGGCAATTTCAAGCACTAGAGAAAGGACAGAAAGCTGTAGAACTGGGGAATCTCTTCAGAGTTCACTGTTTTATTATTTAGAAATTTGATTCCATTTATTCACATGGTAACTGAGTCAGGGAACCAGTCAGCTTATTAGTCTCATCAAAGCTTGCTACTCTAGCAATTTTCCATGCTTCTGGTCTTCAGTGATTTTTGAAATTATTTTTCAATATGTTTTGCTAACATAATTCCTTCTGTGCAAGCATGCTAAGAAACCTAAAGATTACAAAAAGCCTAAAACACACTTCACTTTTAAGAACGTTTTACATTCTAAAGTTGGTGACATGAAAAGAATCGGTATATGTATTTAAAATTGTTATTAAACAACACATTAGATATTAATAAGTACAAAGTAAAACACAAAACAAAAGATGTTTTATTTACAATAATGATGGTGGCAGCCCATCAAATATTTGGTATTGTATGATGTATACAAATAGAACATTCTGCCAAACCTGGTATACAGACAGCACACAGAACACTTTCACATTACTTTAATTCACAGCAAACTCACAGTTAATTTCCCTCTTAATATATCCACAGTGCCAAAAATCAGAGGTTGGGTGGGTGAAGCTGCTGTGTAGGGATCTGAAAGGTGCAGGCAGTCAGCACAGCCTCATGTGAGCTCAGAAAACCCACAATCTATGCTACTGACCATACCCAGCAGTTTGAGAGCCCTGAATTTTCTTTTCAGGTTCATAAACACCAGTTTCAAGAAATTGCATTAGCTAAATAATGAAACGAATTGAGATAATTTCAGTTCACAAAATAGATAAAGACAGTGATCTCCGCTAAGTGCAATGCTGACTCAGGAAAAGAACTCACTTACAAGGGTGGATGAAGCCAGAAAGAATTTACTCAAGAGTACAGTAGTAGAAGAAAACATACACTCAGGACATAAGTTCCTAAATCAAAGATACAACATGATTTACTATGCTGTATTTAAGTTATTTAAAAAGCGACAAATATATTTTAGTTTTTCATAAAGATTAAAAAATAATTTTTAGAGAAAGTTAACCCAAACACTATATCTGTGAGGTATACTGATATGTAAATTAGCCATCTAAACATTTTCAGGCAAAATTTTACATAAAATTAGAAATCTATGATCTTTCCCTGCTCTAATGGGTAAACAAAAAGCAAGACTAATCACAATTAAAGTCAACCCATAAGCACTTTTTTCCTTATGAAATGGCAGCTTTTGGAAATGTAGTATTTGAATATCCTCTGCCTAAACAACTCTCCCTGAATTAATTCCCTACAGCCTTATACTATGGTCACAGAGTTCACACATAGTGGTATATATTTGGTGTGTATGTACAGTGTTCAAGGAAAATTTTCAGACCCAAATATATATTTAACAAATTAAATTCTAAAGGACATTAAACTTTACCTTTGTGAAGATGGCCAGGGGCATGCCATATTGGTCCTCTTCCAAACCAGAAATTAGACCTGGTATCAGGACTACCTGGCCTGTATTAGCTTGAGGTTGCACAGTAATTGGAGGACTGTCGGAGGGCACCAAGTCTTTTGGAAATAAGTTTGTCTGTTCTGATTCCACCTGTTCACTTTCTTTCAATGTGTGGTCTTCTAAGATACTAGGATCCAGGGTCTCCCAGTCACTTTCTGAAGACTCTGGAGATGGACGAGTAGGAAGTTTCAAATATTGATTGGTGTCACTGGGTTCCTGTCCTTTGCTGTTGTCATCTACTTTGAACAAAGGTTCTTCAATCTTGATAGCAGCATCTCCTCCATGGTTTCCTGTCATGATTTTCTTGACAGTTCCCAAGTCAGTATTTGAAATGCCGGCAACAGGCATAGAAACAAAATCATCTGCAGGGGGATTACTTTCTTGAAGCCCAGTATCTTCAGATGTACTCTTTCGGGGTCTGTACTGAGAACAATCACTGAGACCATGTTCAATCATGCCTAAAACATCAATATTGGAGAACAGCATGGCTTATAAAAAGGTTGAAGAAAATAAGAGCTATATATTGTGTTCTATATAGTGGAACTCTCCTATAAGCTTATGTCAAAAAGAATTGTTAAAATATTAAAATTAAAAGAGCAAACACTAATGTGTACAGCCTTGAAAACTTATCACTGAAAGTTCCAATATAAGTTAAATAAAGGATAGAATAAATGCTGCAATCCTCTTACCTGGAAAAAGGGATAACACAGTCATCAGGGCACCCACCAATTTATTCACTGGGGAAATGTAAAAGAGGACCTGAAAAGAATTTAACCAAAATTAAATTAGAAAATCCATGAATCCATAATGACACTTAAAAAAAAGATGGGGGAAGTAAGGGAAAAACTTTTCTTTACAAAAGAGTGACATGTAATACATACAGAAATTAATTACAGAATTAGAAAATCACCAAGCATCAACCATAATCCAGATGAAAGTTATCAATGGATGCTAAAACTATCATGAAAGATTGTTGGGCAATAGGATATTCAATAGTCTTAAATTTATCATCCCACAGATTACCTATTAATTACAAAGGGAAAGACAAATACCTTAATATGAAGAAATCTGGCGACCATCACTTTAAATCAAATGCTCAAACCACATCACCAATAATAGTACATACAGCTATGGGTCTCCTGGTGTAATGTCCTGAGAAGGACACAAGACCACCTGTATAGTATTCTTGCCAAAAATATATAATCTGAAACTAGTCACATGAAAACAATCAGACAAGTCTAATGTTTCAACACAACTAGTCTGAATTCTTCAAAACAAAAACTACATAATGAAAAAGAAAAAGAAAAAAAGAACAAGATGGCGAAGTGTTTGAGATTAAAGAGAAGCTAACAATGCCACATATAGGTCTTGGTCCCAGACTGAAAAAAGCAACCAGCTATAAAGGTCATTATAAAGATAGGGGGGAAACTTGAAAATGGACTTATTTCTTATAAGTAAAAATAGTGTTTTTGTTTTGTAGGTAAACTCATGTTGTTAAGAAATATATTCTAAAGTATTTGGGGTGAATCACCATAACTTGAAATTATGAGGAATGGGGGGAATGAAGACATAAAAATAAGCTACTAATAATGCAAAATGGCAAAATGTTAACTGGCATATACAAAGGGTATAAAAGTATTCATTATATAGTTCTATAGACATTTTTGTTTTTAACATTTTAAAAATTTAGATTTAACATTTTTCAGAATAAAAATTGAGAAAATATGAATTGGAAAATGGATTCTGTCAGATATTGCACTAAACCTACCACTTGGTACTATAATCATGCATCACTTAATTATGGGGTTACATTCTGAGAAATGTGTTGCTAGGTGATTTCAACCTCATTGTGCAAATGTCATTACACAAATGTAATTACACAAACCTAGATGGTCTAGCCTTCTAACACTTAGGCTGTGTGGTGTAGCATGCTGGGACCATTTTTAAATGGTACCTGACTATAATCAAAATAGTTGCAAAAAACAAGCAAACATTTGCTTGGGTAAGTTTTTGTTTTTGTTTTTTTTCTTTTTCTTTTAAAGAGTTATTTATTTATGCATACAAGATCTAGGGTACAGGCCAGAGGTGTGGGGAGTGAGAGGATTCACTAGAGACAGAGTGGGGAACAGAACAGGAGGAATGACTGAAATACACTGCTGAGGGACAGCTGGTGAGGCAGGAGGTCTGCTACAACATGTGGGTAGCTCCCTGGCCGGGGATCGAACTCATGCTGCAGTGGCTGAGGATAGCTTCATAGGTTGCGTCTTAACCCCTTGCGCCACCAGGGAGGCCCAAGTTTTTTTTCTTTTTCAAACAATTAAATCATTTAGTGACACTAAAGTGCTATTTGACAGAGTTTAGCATCCACATTCATCTGTGCTTGACTTACATATTGGTAATATATAAGAAGTGCTTTCCAGGTACAGAGAAACCAAGTTTGGGCTTTAAAGCACAACCCAATTTTATCAAATCAATAAGAAGAGTGTATCTGTAATTTTTCACATTAATTATAGTTTACTTCATAATTATAAATGCCATTGTATGTAGCTATTATTTGGCATATATACATGCAAGTGTATTCTAGGTTGCAATGTAAAACATTATTATGGGATATAATAAAAAATTTGAGGGCCTTCCCGGCGGCGCAGTGGTTGAGCGCTAGGTTGCGAAGCTGCCCGCAACCTCTGCGCCGCCAGTTCGATCCCTGGCTGCTTCCCGGCCACTGGAGGAGGGTCCCCTATGGCACGCAGAACTCTCCTGTCACCCGCTGCTCCCCTCAGCAGTGTACTTCGGTCCTTCTGCCTGCTCTGCTCCCTGCTCTGGCTCTGGTGAATTCTCTCACCCTTCCGCACCTCTGACTGTACCCAGTGCTTGTATAAATAAATAAATAATTAAAAAAAATAAAAATAGAACTACCATCTCATCCAGCAATACTACTTCTAGATATTTATCCTAGGAAATTGAAAACAGGGTCTTGAAGAAATATACTTGCACCCACACTCATAATAGCATCATTCATCAGAGCCAAAAGTTGCCCATAGACAGATGAATAAACAGAATATGGTATATACATACTAAGTAATATTGTTCAGCTTTAAAAAAGTTTTGACACATATTACTAGATGGATACACCTTGACAACATATACTAAGTATGATAAGCCAATCACGAAACTATCAATACTCTATGGGGTCCATGCCACTCTAATACAAAGGGGTGGGACTGCTATTATTTTAGACCATAGATGTAGACCAAGGGTCTATCACCTATTTTTGCAAATAAAATTTTAGTGGAACAGTCACACCAATTCATCTATTCATTATTTATGGCTGCTTTTACACCATGGGATGGAGTTTAGTAATTACAACAGAGGCCATATAACCTATAAAGAAAAATACTACGATCTGATCCTTTACAGAAAAAGATTGCTGACCTCTGGTTTAGACAAATAAGGAGCTATCCCTGGATCTGGAACCAGTTTTATATTCTGTATTACTGAGCCCATTGAAGTCGGGGTGGAATGAATGTTGGGATGTACCCATTCACAATATACAGTATAATCATTACCTCAAAAATATCTGTTCCTTTGACCCAGTAATTCATGTCTTAGACATTAATTTTCTAGAATTAGTCTGAGTTGGACACGAGAATTCTGAGATTCTATCACAGATCGTTTTTAATAATGAATTATGGGTGAAAAACTAATCTTGTATATTGTATATAATTCCAGACCAAAAAAAAAGATTCGAGGTTGTTCTCTTTTGTTGTTGTGAAGATGTCTCTGGCATGTTAAGTAAAAACAAAGTTTCTCCAGCTACATATCAAGCCCAGAACCCCAATATTATAAATATATATGTTCTTTTTTTAAGGAGATACTTTTCCCTATTCTGATTTTCTGCAATGAATACTTCTTTCATCTCCAGCCAGACAAATAAAGTGGAAAAATGGAGTGGTCTGAAACCCAAGTTTAAGCCAATCATTTTTTGATCAACAATTATTGGTTTGGAGAAGTCATATGGGATCACAGACCCACACAAACTGAAGGGAAGTTATCTTATTAAGTGGTTGGGGGGCCTCCCCCATGGTGCAGTGGTTGAGTGCTGGGTTGTGAAGCTGCCCGCAGTCCCAAAGCGCCGGTTTGATCCCCGGCTGCTCCCCAGCCACCGGAGGAGGGTCCCACATGGCGTGCAGACCTCTCCTGCCGCCCGCTGCTCCCCTCAGCAGTGTACTTCAGTCCTTCTGCCTGCTCTGCTCCCCGCTCTGGCTCTGGTGAATTCTCTCACCGTCCCGTGCTTCTGACTGTACCCAGTGCTTGTATAAATAAATAAAAAATAAATCTTTAAAACAAAACAAAAAAATAAATGGTTGGGAAGATTATTTCTACCACCATTTAAAACTAAGAATGCATATAGCCCAACTACTGCTGGCAATTATCCTACCCGACAAGAGAAACTAGGATCTAGATAAAACTACTGGTAGCACTGTGGACTGTGGTGCAAAGAGATGGGGGAAAAAAATGTAGGTACTTAATACTATTGAACATTTGGTCAACAAACTCTTAAATCTGAAGTGAGCTAATACATTTCTTTATTATTTCAGTCAGTTTAAAATGGGTTTTTCATTGCCTACAGTCAAAATCATTCTGATAATTAAATCCACTGTCAAAGTGCCTCCAGAAAGACTGCACGAATTTATGCTTCTAAGGTAATGAACAAGAACATGTATCTCAGCTCACTACAACTTGACAGTTCAAGAAGTCTTAATCTTTCATCACTAGTTTTAATTTTACATAGTATTTAAGAAATGCAAAAATATTAATATTCTATCCCTTCAAATCTCACCTTTTTTTCAAGAAGAATAAGTTTGAACAGGATTAAGACCTGAAGAAATAAAAAAAACTTTATTAAAATTAGAAACTCAACCACATTATTCATTTGCCTTTCCCCCCAACACACTCATATATCTTTTAATCAATATTAAATGATCACAGCATTTTAACAGTACAGTGAAAGTGATGAACTTACACTGAGAAATTAAATATTTATATCCCCTAAAAATATAAGAACCATTTAAGTTTTTTATAAATTATGCTTTCTGGAAGGGGTAAATTCATTTTTGCTTGAAATATTTACAAACGCCTTAAGGAAAAGCAGAAACTAGTCATTAATTTCTGGATGTCTAAGCATTCACACAGATAATCACTAATGTCTGTTAAATGAATGATCAATGTATGTATCACCTAGTAAACATATTCTATCATAATTAAGAGTAGAAGGCGTAAGTATAGATGTTTTCTAGAAATTTCCCACTTCCAGGGCAATATATAAATATTCTGCAAGATTAAAACATGTTTCTTTTCACTCTTATTTAATGCTACCTGAAATCACAAAGATGACAGAAAAAGGTATACTGTTCTGCACAGAAATAAACAGAGTATTAGTATACTTTCAGAATTTTCTATCATACAAGCACTAGTGACACTTTCAATGTTGTATTGTCAGAGCAATCTTTGAAGAACTGAAACACAGTGATGCCACCATCTGTATTACATCATGTAGCACATGGAATTTACATAGTTAAATGAACACAAATTTAGTACATCATCAATTAAAATGAAGTATTATATATACCTTATGTCGAAAATGAAGCACAAGATCTCGAGGAGAGAGACCTACAATGTTAACAAAGAAGTCAGTCTATGACTACAAGTTACTGTTTTTGTCAAGGGAAATTTTTTTCCTCTATAAGAAAGATAAAAAAAGGGTAGGAATATACAAATATTAAATATCTACGCAATATTTAATAATGTACATACATACTCAAATTTAGGATATTACTGTTAAAAGAGAAACAGCATAGTCCAATAAAACTTTCTACAATTATGGAAAACATTCTCAATCTGAGTTGTCCGATACAGTAGTCACAAGTGGTCACTGAACACTTGAAATGTGGCAAGTGTTGGGCCTGCCTGATGGTGCAAGGGGTTAAATCACAACAATATGAAGCTATCCGCAGCCTCTGCAGCACAAGTTTGATCCCCAGCTGGTCAGGGAGCAGACCCATATGGCACAGCAGACACCCGCTGCTCTCCACAGCAGTGTATTTCAGTCAGTCTGCCTGTTCTGTTCTCTACTCTGTCCCTGGTGAATCCTCTCACCCCCCCAGCACCTCTGGCCTATACTCCAGTTCTTGTATGTATAAAGAAATAACTCTTAAAAAAAAAGACATGTGGGGGCCTCCCCTGGTGGCGCAGCAGCTGAGTGCTCGGCTGCGAAGCTGCCTGCAGCCTCTGCAGCTCCGGTTCGATCTCCGGCTGCCGGCGAGGGTCCCACATGTTGCGACAGACCTCTCCTGTCTCCCCGCTGCTCCCCTCAGCAGTGTATTTCGTCAGTCTGCCTGTTTTGTTCCCCGCTCTGGCGCTGGAGAATTCTCTCACTCTCCCGTGTTTCTGACTGTACCCAATGCTTGTATAAATAAATAATTCTTTTAAAAAAAAAAAAAAAAAGAAAAAGAAATGTGGTAAATGTGACTGACAAACTGACAAAATTAAATTTTATTAATTCTGCTCTAAATATAAAGTCACATGTGACTAATGGCTACTATTGTAGATAGTGTAACACTAACACCTCTCCATTCTACAAACATAAATTATACAATTTTAGAAATTATTAAGTCTATACTATAAGAGCAGTCAATGATTTAAACAAACCCTAGAAACATGGCTGCAGAACTGAAGCTGCTAGAGGGGGAGGGAGAGGAACAGTGGGAACAATGTGTGGAGAGGGCTCCATGGTCTATGGATGTTGTGGTGGTGGGTGTGGTAACATGTACCTGAGGAGTGAAACTATGCCCCTCTATCATATACAATGTTGGAAATTAATGATATGTGAAAAAAAGCAAATAAGTAAAATAAAAAAAAAAAACCCCACATGATTTTGGTCATTATACTCTATATGCTATTATTTCTCAATCACAGTCTTCTCTCATCATCTGCCCATAGGACAAGGAGAAAGTAATTTAAAGAAAAATATGTTCTCAGAATGGAGTTCTGTAGCCAGCTAACATTATATGCAAGGTTGCAAAGTGAACTACCAGTTTGGTAACTTCAGGCCAAAATAGGAACTGAGTATAAAATAGGAAATAGCATAAATCACCATATGATAAAAACTTTTTTAATCATGGAAGGGATATTTACTGAGTACCTTGAGCAACAATGGATATTCTAGGTTGTCAAGATAAAGCATTAATATAAGGAAAGGAAGAACTTTCCATTACTATTCTTTTTTTAAAAATTATTACTATTTTTTATTTTTTATTTTTTTTTAAAGATTTATTTATTTATTTATACAAGCACTGGGTACAGTCAGAAGCGAGGGAGGGTGAGAGGATTCACCAGAGCCAGGGCAGGGAACAGAACAGGCAGACCGACAAAGTACACTGCTGAGGGGAGCAGCGGGTGGCAGGAAAGGTCTGCGTGCCATGTGGGACCCTCTCCCAGCCACCAGGGACAGAACTGGCGCTGCAGAGGCCGCGGGCAGCTTCACAACCCAGCGCTCAACCGCTGCGCCACTGGGGAGGCCCCCATTACTATTCTAAAAGAAGAAATTCACTTTGTACAACAGTAGTTGTAAATATTGGCTCAAGTGTGATAATAATTTTCGCTATAAATACTAGCTAGGTAGGTATTTAAGGAAGAAGCAGCATCACACTTGAAGAATTTAGGTCCCATACAGAAATGTAATTCTGATCATGGAATTTTAATGCAACTTAATTTGCCAAACAAAAAGAAAGGAAGGCACTTCAGACTTGCAAAAAAAATGTTACTTACCAAGATATACTTGTGATCCTTCTAATGAAGTTCCTCCCAAGGAGCTATTCATATGCTCATAAAGCTCCTAAAAAATATATTCAGGTTAGAACATTTTGCTATAGTTTTAGACAGTGAATTAGAACTACAATGATCAAGAAAAAACTGGGTTATTTAATTGAATCAGTTTAGTCAGATTCTGAATTTAGAAACTGAGGTTTCTCTGAACTCCCACTTTACAAAATTTCTTCCTCCTCTTCCTGTACATTTTAGATCTCGATTCATAAGCAAGTGGTATGGATTCCTAAGACAAATTCCCTCTGCGTCCTTGCTAAATACCTAACTGTCTCCTTACATTAAAATCCAGGAGAAAGCCATGTTCTGTATGTTCATGGCAGCCTTGAAGAAAATACCTTTAATAAATGGTTATGTTACTCTTGTTTATTTGCTATGGGAATTAGGAACCAAAAGCCCACATGTACACATCAACATAATGAATAGTCTATTAATAAGATAAGCAAATTTAGGGAAGCAATGACAAAGCAAAAGCGTTATTATCTATTAAAAGAAACAATGATTGTATAGTTATTTTATATATTTAATAAAAAACATTTTGGTTAAATTTAATAAGTATAATCTATACATATTTTGGGCATATCCCCGCCCAAAACTATTACATTCAAAAAAAAAAAAGTCTTTCTTAAATTAATAAATAATTAACCTTTACAGTATTACTGGTAAGATTTACTTGCTTCATGAATCTGTTTCCGCCTAACACCTCTCTTAAGGGGTTAGTTACCTTTAGAATGGAAATTTGGGAGAAGTCCTTTTCTTCAAAGTATGCATGTGTAATGAGTTGCAGTTTTGCTTGAAGTAAGCCATAGAGAGGCTTAAAGGAAAAAAAAAAAATTACCATTAGGCTGATAATAGTAAAAGACAAACAAAAACCCTACAACTTTTTAACTTAAAGAGAACAAGGAGAGTAAGGTAACTATCAATGTTAGTACCTTAACATTCGTAACTGAAAATTGTTAAGTCACTTGATCTAAATCTTTGGCTAAAGTTGGAAAGTGGCCTACACACTCATAGGTATAGTGGTTGCGAGTGTGGGCTCAGACCTCCTGGGTCTGCTCTATCACTCAGCTGTAAAACTCTGGGCACTGATCCTCTCCATATCTGCTAGCTGATATGAACAGAGGAATGTGAAAAGACAGCACTTTGTAAAAAAATTGAAGTAACACAGGTGTACAATACCTCTTCGGATATATGTTACAATGCCACACTCACCACCAGGGCACCCACAGCCCCCTGCCATAGTCCACTGGACCCTCTCCACGCTGCTCTCTACCCTCCCTTTTCTCCCTCTAATAGCCTCAATTTTAGTCAGATTCCTATGCTTCATAAATGATCTCTTGTTTTATTTTTCTATATTTCACCTGAGTGAAACCATCCGGTAGCTGTCTTTGTCCTTTGGCCTTATTTCACTTAGCAGAATCCCCTTCAATTGAATCCATGTTTTCGCAAATGGCAACAGATCATCTTTTTTTTTTTTTTTTTAAGATTTATTTATTTATTTATACAAGAACTGGGTTACAGGCCAGAGAGAACTCACTAGAGACAGAGCGAGGAGCAGAACAGGCAGAAGGACCAAAGACACTGCTGAGGGGAGCAGTGGGAGAGACAGAAGAGGTCTGCTGTGCCATGTGGGTAGTTCACTGGCCAGCTGGGAATTGAACCTCGCTGCAGAGGCTGCAGACAGCTTCACAGTGCTGCGCTCAATCCGTAGCACCAATGGGAGGCCCTCATCTTTTTTTTAATAGCTGTGTAGTATTCCACTGTGTATGACTACACTTTAATCACTAACAAAGAAAGTATATTTAATGTGGGTTTTAGGATTAAATAACAGGTGAAAGCACTTAGTAAAGTATCAGGCACTTAGGTAGCAATGAAATGGTAGCTAACATTATAATCAGATTTAAAATTTAATCTAATTCTGCATTGTTCTGCTGACTTGTGTTAACTTTTTTTTTAAAGATTTATTTATTTATTCATACAAGAACTGGGGTACAGACTAGAGGTAGGGGGTGGTGAGAGGATTCACTAGAGACAGAGTGGGGAACAGAACAGGCAGATTGACTGAAATACACTGCTGAGGGGAGCATTAGGTGAGACAGGAGAGGTCTGCTGCGCCATGTGGATAAGCTCCCTGGCCAGCTGGGGATCAAAATCATGCTGCAGAGGCTGAGAATAGCTTCACAGTGCTGTGCTTAACCCCGTGTGCCACCAGGGAGGCCTTGTGTTAACATTTAATCAACCTTATTGCAGTCCCTTCTTATATCTAATTGAACATTTTTAGCGAAATTTAAATTAATTTTACTTTTAGTACTCTATGGAAGCTTAGAACAAGCTTAGTACATCATAATATTCTTTTCTATATTTGAACAAAGTTATTGCTTATTTCTCTGATCTTAGATTCTCTTCTAAAATTTCCATCTTTTTACTTTCAATGTGTCAGTCTAGATGCTTTCTAAGTCTTTTCAGTATGCAGAAACCAATACTGTATTATGCTCCAATTAGTTACAACCCTAACATTGGAATAGCTTTCCCACCACCTCAACTATCCCTGTTAATATATCATTAACACCTAAGCATAAAATCAGCTTATTTTTTTATAAATGACGATGCACTACCAACCAGAAATTTTTGGATGAGGTAGCTGTTATCACATCTCCTATGTCTGTTTAGACAGACAAAACTGCATTTTTCAGTTTTGCTACTCACTTAGTAGTAGCTATATGACTTTGAGTTTTATCTCTACTTGTTAATGAGAACAGTAAATACAGCTCATTATTATCAGGACTAAAATGACAATTGTATAAAAATGTATTAAAAATAGAATTATATATATAATTACTCAGGGATATCTTTAAGTGTTAACATTAAATCAGGCAATATTTAAGTGTTTTATAAGTGCCAGATATACTACTAAGTGCTTTGACCTATGTTATTTAATTTGAAAAACAGTACTATGAGATATACTATCTTCTCATGTACCTGTGTTCACATCACCAAGCAGGTGTAGAAAGGACAAGTGTCTAGAGTTATACAGCTGAGTGATGGAGTAATTATGTATAGTTATACATGCCTAACATATTGGCACTTGCATTTGCTTTACTATTTGATTTCCTTATGTTCTGGTCATCTGGTGCAATATTAAAATGTAATTTACTGATGTATTCTTTTTTAGGTTACCTTTCTAGAAACTTGTACATCAGTCAGATTAGCAACTTACTATACTTTCTGATATTTGGGTCTTTTATAATTATTCCTAAGAGACTATTCTTGCCCTTTATTTAAAATCACTATCTTGGAAGAAATATCCTTACAATCTTACTATTAAGGCCCACAGCATTGTTCAGGGTGTGCATGTGTTAGCTTAGTAACAGAATTTAAAATAAAATCTATTTTGCAAAACTCACCTTATATTAAGCAGACCACATTTAAAGTGTCTGTGAACATAAGAAATCTGCAGAAGCAATAACTTAACAAAACCTATATATATTTGGTACTTAAGACTAATGAAATATTCTCAATCTTGGTTTAGGTTAACTGCAGAGCCACTGTAGGCAGTAATTATACAGATCTAAAATAATATAATAGAGATTTGAATTTCATTTGTATTTAGCGGGTGGCATATTTTACATACAGAAACAGGCATTTGTAAAAAATAAGTCAAAACGATCCTACACTTACATGAGATTAACTTGTACATGGAATAAACAATTTAAAAATATTGGTATTGTACAGTATAATTTGTTGTCATTTCTTTTCCTCAAACATTTTACGTTTTAAATTTTTAAAGAGTAAGTTAAGGTTACAATTTTTCATATCAAAGGCATCATGTACTTCTGTATCATCGATAACATAAGTAATTTTGATATTTTGAATTTTAGTAAAATATCAAAAGTTGAGAACAACAACAAAAAAGGGATCAATATCAGTATAAATATCAGTTACCTCATTTTGGTCAAGTGGAAATCTCCTTCCTAAAAACCTATTTATACTACCTTTTTCCTTTAAACTAGTTTTGACTTGAGGTGCAAATGAGATTAAAATTGCTGAAAGGCAAAGAGAAAGGATATGCAAAAGTATAAATAAGGAGAACCTAAATAATTTTAATAGATTTATTATTTTTATAAGTCTCTTCTGATACTAATAAAATAAGATGCCTAAAATGTGATCTCTCATCCTCAAATAACAATGTTCCATGAATGTTTAACAAAAACATTAACAAGTTATTTGGTCTCTTACCAGCTTGCTTAGAACACAAACACTTTTCTGAACAGTTTCTCTGGTGACATCTGCTTGCCTTACTTTCAATGCCTATTATAAAGAAATAGTCATTAATACAAACATTTCATATAAATATTTTAAAAAATCACATCTTTAACATAAAAATAGCATCATAAAACACATCATAACATAAAAATAGCAATTAGAAAAGTTTCTTACATTTAGTTCATTTAATAGAAAAAGCATTTACTGGGAATCTCAGGAGATATTTACTAATGAATAAATGTTGGTCAGGACATTGGGTGCCAGAATCTGTCAGGTTCTAGGAATAAAACGGTGAGAGACCATCTCTACTCAAGGAACTTACAGTCTAGTGGAGAATAATTCAGATGCAAGTTGCAATTTTCCTAACACAAATCAGTCATCCTTGATTATGGTTTTAAAATGGGTAGCTCTTTCAGATAGCACTGTTTCTGATGATAATTTAAGAATCACTATCTACAAACAATGCACAAAATATTTTGACAAACTATACCATCAATGTCAACTTAAAAAACATTTGCGTAAATAAATTGGTAATATTGGAAAAACAGCTACAACTTGTTTATAAAAATTTAAAACAATATCACAAATATCAAATGAAAGACTGTGTTTCCCCAATTTTACATTTTTGTGGTTAGCATGAAAGGAAGAATTTGGGTGTTTTGCTGTTGTTCACTGTAATGATTGTACCTTGGCTTCAATTTGTCGGTAGCAAGAAATGCCATATACTGTAGCTCCATTTCCATTTCTAGGTGGCAAGTGAAAAAACACGGTATCTAAGACATAAACAGAAAAATTTAAATACCTATGTGAATTAGCCTTATTTATAAATAATGAAATTTGAAATTATTAATGTAGGCATTAAAAAAAACATGATGTATCACAATGTTATAAACCAGTAACAATAAAAGGAACCCATGTCATATTGATTTCCAGCACCACCAATGGTTTCTCAGAAAATACTTTATCTATTGAATTGAGAGTTGTTTCAGATTAAAAGAAAGTAGACGTAAAAACCAAAGGCAACACATAAACCAAGAAAAGATCCAAGAAATTCTTAGGACTACTGGGGAAATTTGAACCTAGATTGGATATTAAATATTAGCTTATGGTTCCCTAGATTGGATATTAAATATTAGCATTATGGAATTACTGCTAAATCTCTTAGCTGTGATGATGGTATTGGAAGTTACCCTGAGGAGTGACCTTACTCTTTGGAGATATATTTTTAAGTATTCAGAGGTAAAGAGTCATGATGCCTGCAACTGCCATTCAAATAGCACAAGCATGATCATACAAACACAAATATAAAAAAAAATTTGTACAATATTGACTATTTTATTCTTTCAACTTTTCTGTTTAAAAGCATTCACAATAAAAATCAGAAAAAAAGATTTGTGAATTAAAAAATACTATATTTAAATTTTATGTTAATCTGTTACTTGCTTTAATTAGAAAATTATTAAATATTTCTTAATATTTAATTAAACTCTTAATCAAGCCAAGTTTAATTAGGTGTTTTGGTAGAGTCTCTAATACCATGCTTTCAGGTAAGGTCTTTTTGTTAGCCAATTGAAACACTTATTTATAAAGTGGTAGGAGACTCAGCACTAGTTTCATTTCATTGCTTTGCAGTGTTAACATGCTCCACAGGCATGCAAAGGGGGCCTTTTTTTTTTTTAAAGATTTATTTATTTATGCATACAAGAACTGGGGTACAGAACAGTGGTTCAGGGGATGAATGGATTCACCAGATACAGAGTGGGGAACAGAACAGGCAGATCTACTGAAATACACTGCTGAGGGGAGCAGCGGGCTAGACAGGAGAGGTCTGCTATGCCATGTGGGTCAGCTCCCTGGCTGGGGATCAAACTCGTGCTGCAGTGGCTGCAAAGAGCTTCGCAGTGCTGAGACTTACCCCACTGCACCACCAGGGAGGCCCGCAAAGGGCACTCTTCAGCAGAACACTCATGGCAAGGACTCTACAGTTGAGGAAGCAATCCCAGCTATTTGCAGGTGGGTAATGGAGTATTAACCTAGTAAATTTGCAGCTAAAGCCCCAGTTAACCTACAGCTGGTATAGATTTTTAGGTTATTTCTGAGAGGAGTCTGAAGTATATATGCAGGAAGTACTAACAGTAGCAGATGCCCAAATCTGGCTAATCACTTACTTTAGGCAGTGCTCCTGGCAAAAGAGTGGCTAAGGTTCATCAGTCATTAAGGTTCCTGCACTCCTTTGAAGATCCTGTAGTGCATGACCAGTCATCCCCAAACAAGAATTTAAATATTTTTTAAATAGCTAAAGGCCTTTTATTTAACAAAGTACTTATAAGACATCTTAATGTCCTGGCAAATTAAAAAAATAAAAAAAGGTACCTACTAATTGTTCTACTGTCTGTTTACATACCTTCCTGGTAGTTGTGCGCGCCATCTGGTAAGGCAAGGAAGGGCAAATACTTCCATTCTTCAGGTAGAGTGTGGCTGTCATGTCCATCTCCTGGAATCAGGGGCGGGTAAGAGAATTCAACCTAAAATGGTAAGGAATGTTAGCCAAAAGGTTGTTGATAAACATCCTACTGAACTGAGGAGAGGTTCAACAAAGGAAGTTGAGAAGTTGAGCCAAGATCCTGGGTTGCTGCCTATAAATTGGCTTTCTTGTTCCTAACACTTGTAGTTTTAAGCTAATGGTTTTGATGGGACTTGAGTAAGGGGTAGGTCGGCATTAACCAACATTTCAGGTGGTTTACTTGAGATTTACAATTGATCACTGCTTAAAGGCACTTGAATAGTGCCCTTTTAGTTTTAGTTTCTCCAACACTGTTTTCAAAAATTTACTGAGGAGTAAGCCCAATCGTATCTGTATCTGTGGGGCTGTTATGTGTTTGATTTGTGTGCTAACAGTTTGATTTAGTGGCTCCTATATAGTTGTGTGGATCAGACAATAAATTTTTGAGTCAGCTGCCCCACCTCTTGGCCCCCTTTCTAGGCATTTCAAGGATTCATTACCCCTTCATTCTTAAAAAGGATATTTATCTTCTTAATAGTCAAGGCATTTTAGGCTACAAAATCAAACCAAACCAAACCAAACCAAATCAAAACCCACCCATCGAAGACATTTCTTCTAAGTTGTACCATCTCCCCCAAATCTCTTGAAGAGTAAACACTATTCAAGATATTCATTAAAAAAAAAAAAAGATATTCATTAAGGTATTAAGGGCAGACTTCTCTAGGGTATGGGATTTTAAGGTTAGTTTTCTTTTTTCTACTCTATTTTCTCACTTTTCTATTATACTGAGTACATGCTATTTTTAAAGTGTTCAATAAAGGTTTTTTTTTTAACACTGTAAGAGATGTTATTTTTATAATTCAGGAGAAAGACAAACACTGATGATTTCACTCATGTGGGATATAAAGAAACAAAACAAAGGAACAGACAAAACTAAACTAAAACAAATCCTAGCTATCTAAATATAGAATTGGGGATACCAGAGGGGGAATAAAAAGGGACCTAGTGGATTATAGTGGAGGATTTTAGATGCTTTGGTGGTGGGCATGGTGTGGTAACATACATTCAAAGAGGTATATCATACACAGTGTTGTAAAGCAATGTTACTTCCATAAAATACAATTTAAAAAATAAAGATAAAAAAGAAGTTATATTTAAATATGGAATGTGTCTTGTCAAAAATATCACTTTCAATTACACCCTCTAAAAATACCCTAGAGAGAAACCAAGTTTTCAATGTGATGGCATTTAATGAAAGGATATAAAAGGGGATCTTCATCACATTAGAAAATAGCTTTCACCGTGTGATCCATGTGAAACCACCTGATTCCTCTGCCGAGCACCTTTATAATTGGAATCTACAAAGATTTAGTGCATACTACTGCCAACTGAATACTACTTAGTGCATCTAAGTAGTATACTGAGTACTGCTGAATTGTATACTCAATAGCATACTGAGTACTACTTAGTGCATACTACTGCCTAACTAATGCTAAAAGGCATTAGTATTTAACTAAAGGTTTACTTTGGTTCACTTGAATCTAAAATTTACAAATTACAATCAGGTATGGAGATTTTCTTTTTTTTTTTTTTTTAAGATTTATTCATTAAAAAAAGTAGTGTTTACTCTTCAAGACCAGAGGTGTAGAGGGGGTGAGAGGATTCACCAGAGACAGAGTGGGGAATAGAACAGGTGGACTGACTGAACTACATTGCTGAGGGGAGCAGTGGGTGAGACAGGAGAGGTCTGCTGCACCATGTGGGTAGCTCCCTGGTTGGGAATCAAACTCGTGCTGCAGTGGCTGCAGATAGCTTCATAGGTTGCATCCCAACCCCTTGTGCCACCAGGGAGGCCCAGGTATGGAGATTTTCACTATGAATAATCCCAGTGCATGGAAAGAAAGAACTAGTGATCAACAGCATTCTGAATACTTGGAAGAGCAGGCTAACAAAGCACCCTCACACAACCTAAAATCTCTGAAGTCAGAGCCTTGCATTTTTAACCCTTTACACCTGGAAATAAAAACCTTAAACCAGAAAATGCAGTAGCAGATTAATTTATCTGGTGAGGAAATCTTACATGAGTTTCTGGAACACTTGAAAAAAGCAATGGCAGTGTCTAGAACATTCTATCTAATGTAACATATACTTTATGTAACATACACTTTCCAAAACATGAAATATATGTTGATTTTGAAGGCTTAAGAAAGCAGAGTTGTAGAACAACTAAAAAGACACTGATTTAGAGCATCCTTTAAGAACTAATATAATGTATATTGTATATTGAAATTTTTCAGCATATACTACTCCTCTTTACCAGGCAAAATTGACATTGTCCTTGATTATTTTCTAAAAACTAGACAAAAAAGAGAAAAAGCGGGGCAACCAAAAATGAAAAAAAAAAAAAAAAAGTATATTTCCCCATCTTTTCCAATATAGTTATACATCTACTGAACATCCTGTTCCAGTTGGATTAACTGCCATGGATTTATACAGATTATGCCTCCAGCAAAAGTTTTATTGTTTTTAACTGAACTGACCTATCAACTTCATTAACCAACTTAATGTGAGAGATTTTTTTCATTCATTTGCTCTGTTTCTTTTTTTTAAGAATCTGATTTTTTTTTTTTTTAAGATATATTTATTTATACAGGCACTGGGTACAGTCAGAGGTGTGGGAGGGTGAGAGAATTCACCAGAGCCAGAGAGGAGAGTAGAACAGGCAGAGTGACGAGGTACACTGCTGAGGGGAGCAGCGGGTGGCAGCAGAGGTCTGTGCGCCATGTGGGACCCTTGCCCGGGGACAGGGACAGGGATCGAACAGGCGCTGCAGAGGCTGCGGGCAGCTTCACAACCCAGCGCTCAACCGCTGTGCCACCGGGGAGGCCCCATTTGCTCTGTTTCTTAAGGGACTGCGTTAGCCACCTTTAAACATATTCTGATTAACGTATCACAGAGGGTCTTCAGTGAAAGTTTTTCACACTAGCCCTCACCCACCTTCAACTTTATTTAGAATCCAGAAATTCTAGCATTATCTATCCAGCTAACCTCCATTAGAAGAATAACACAAAATTAATAGAACTTTACTAGTAAGTTAAAAATATTTTCTGATAAATAATAGTTTCATTACAGGCTTAAACATTTGACTCTTGCAAAAGCTACAGAATACACAGCAGATAAATCTAAAAATCATCTTTTTACTCACTGTGTATTTTGACTTTGATTAGCTATAAATATCAAGTTTGATTTATAAAACCAGGTTCTCAGTTCTTTGCTTTCTGCTATAAAAGAAAGTATAATTTTTAAAAAGTTGCTTTCTTTCATTGCACAATAACAAGTCACTTTGTGCATCTGAGATAAATAACCCATACTGGGTTTCTCATCATGTATTGCACTGTGGCAGAACCCTTTACATTTTCTTCTGTTCTTAATAGTAACCAATGTGAGCATATACTCAATAAATACATGTATTAAAAATTAGTTGTTCTTGTGTCTGCACAGTACCATGTGGATTACAAAAGAAAAAAATATATAAGGCATGGCGTGTATTTTTCCTGTCTACTATAAGACTGACAACCTAAAAGTGCTATTAAAAAAAAATGGAGTTATAAAGACCAGGGATCTGAGCTTCAATGTTAGTGCTGACAGAGTTCTTAACCAAACTTTACTCAGGCTTCTCTGAATTTGCTTCTCAACTAGGCCCTGACTTCGGGCTTTAAATCAGTCTTAATTTCAGCAAGTATCCTAACAGATCACCTTCAGCCAGAAACCATCTTTACCCCTATTGTAATAATTTTCTACCTATGACTCCTGCCATGTCCCCTGGCTATAAATTCCCACTTTTCCATGTTACATTTGGCATTGAGTCCAGTTCTACACAGATGATTCTTTCCCCCCACTGCAATAATTTTTCTGAGCAAAATCAGTTTTACCACTTTAAATACTGCTCAGCTCTGGCCTTACCTTGATAGCATCAAACTAGTTGGGTATGCTTAAGTCATTTAATCCTTCTGGGTTTCCGTTTACTTATATATAGGCAAGTCGGAAAAGATGATTTCTGAGGGTTCCTGGCAGAACTAAAATTCTCATGAAGAAATCTGGTAGAGGAAACTGAGTTTCAGAAAATTTAAGCAATTTGGACTTGCTGTAGGTCATAGGAGTTGTGTGAGATCAGGTCATCACACAAGTCTTGTGGATCTCATTATGTTTTCATTTTACAAAACCAGTTACCTTTATCTCAGTACTAAAACCAAAAGCCAGATCTATCCAGAGAAATGTCATAGCACCCAGAGTACTATTTGAGCCAAAGTGCTTCTTTAATCTTACAATCTGTTGTTCATTTTTCTTTTACCTGTAATTACATTTCATTTAATAAAATAACTAATTTTTCCTTTCTGGAAATATAAATTATACTACTTTTTGTCTTCAAAAGTACCATTCAGTTTGGTTCTGCGGTTGGCTCGCACTTACTTGACCCATAAAGACTCTGAAAAGCCACATGGCTCAGCAGAATGAACACATATGGTGCCAAAAGTTTGATTCTAGGATACTGTGCAGTGTGATCTCAGCAAGATCATTTTACTTTCTCCCACTTTGAGTTACTTAATTCATATCCAAAGTAAATTATAAGGCCTCCTTGGTGCCTACGGGTTAAACTATCACCAATATGGCTGATTTGGATCCCCTGGCAGGGAGCTAACCCACATATGGTGCAGCAGACCTCGCCTGTCTGGCCCTCTGCTCCCCTCAGCAGTGTATTTCAGTAAAAAACACCTGTTCTGCTCCCTACTCTGTATCTGGGGAACCCTTTCACCCCTTGCACCTCTAGCCCACACCACAGTTCCATGCTAAAAAAAAAAAGTAAATTATAAAGTATTAAGATCAAATACGTGAAATTTTAAAATATTACAAATGTACTGATGATGAACAGTGTGTTTGCATGCCATAGTACAGTCTGAAAGATCTATTCCCTTACATATAAATTATGATCACATTAAAAAACCTACATCCTAATGCTACTTGGAATTTTTTAACATCACACCGAAAAATGCCACTTTCTCCGTGGTATCTTTGTAAGCTATTTTTACCCTGAGGAATAACAAACACATGATATTTGAAAGTTAAGCAATCTTTAAAACACATAAAAACACAACAATCTGATTTTATTTTCATTCCTCTTCTCGCTTTTGTATTATCAACCTCTTAACTTCTGCCAACAAAAGTCTTCTAAAATGTTACATTTTCTGTGAGATGCAAGAACCCAAATGCGACACTGCCGAGAGGTAGAAATCAGGATTTTTAATGCTTTTAAGCATTTCAATCTACAGTTCACCCTCATATTATGACATCATTGCCTTCCAGTGTTTGCTCTCATTAAACAATCCTGTTCCTATTTTGTTTCCCGTTGCTTCCAATACAGGCTGCAAACGTTCCGTTTACAGTTTCTGTGAAAGCGACGACTTGCACATTTCTTTGCTTGGTAACTACAATCTTGCTGCAATTGATCCGGTGAGGTCAATCTCTCACCAAAAGGCAAGATCTGGACAAGATCAAGTATCAATAGCAAAACCAAGGCCCAAAGAGAAGGGGGGCGGAGTCAACAAACCTCCCTAACACCAAGGATTTTAGGGCTTCCATAGATAAACAAAGGAAGTTGATTTTCCCACGACGCCGCGCGTGCTTCAACCAACCTGAGGCATTTGTCTGGAAGCCCACTGAGCCCATTACCTAGAGAACGCAGCCCAAGTGCTGATTTTACTACAGGCTGTCATTATAGGTGGACACCCAGGGAATCAATGGAAACAGATGGATGGGGGAACAGAGCGGCGCCGATCTTCGAGTCGTTTCATCTACTCCATCAAAGAACCTCAGCATCTAACAATCCCAACATCCAGCAACACATGGCTCCTCCGCGACTCAAAACAGTTATTTTCAACGCAGGAGAAAGAGGGGTCTCTGGGGAGGTTGGGCTTTGGGGGGGGCAAATGCGAGGAGCTGAGAAGTCAAAAGGGCTCAAATGGGGAGGAGAAACAGAGTGGAGGGCAGTGGGAGCCCTCAGGGTGCAAACGCCCGATCGGCGGACGCGGGTGCAAGCCGCCTCACTTTCTCACCTGACAGCCCTTCTTGTGGTGAAAACCGACCACCACGATGTGCAGCACGGGCCCTCGGGGGGCGCCATCGCCGCCTCGCCCGGCCTTCTCCATGGGCGGCCGCCGAGGGCCCGCAAGAGGACGACTTCAACCGCCAAGGGCCGACGGCGAGCGGCGGGCTTCAGGTGTCAGCAGGGCCGCCGCATGAGGGCCGAGCACCGGGCCGGGAGGAGGCCGAGGCTCCCGCAGCTCCGCGCCGCCCCCCGGCGCCACGGCTGCCCTCCCCTCATCCGCTTCCGCAGCTTCCGGGCTGTCACCTGACGCCGCGGGCGGGGCGGGGCGGGGCAGGGCAGAGGGACCTGAGGGGCGGGGCCGAGGGGAGGGCGGGGCCTGGATGGGAGGGGGAACTGGGGAAGGGGCGGGGCTTCGCAGGGCAGCCCTCCTCACCTGCGTCCTGCTCCAGGTACTGTCTCTACCCTCTGCCTGCTCTGCCCGCCCTTTCTTCTACCTCCTTAAAATCGCCACCTCTTCCTTCCTTTCTTCAGCTTTCCTTATTTTTATTTTTGTTTATTTATTTTTTTAAAGATTTATTTTTTATTTATGCAAGAACTGGGGTACAGGCCAGAGGCGTGGGAGGGTGACAGGATTCACTAGAGACAGAGTAGGGAGCAGGACAGGCAGACAGACTGAAGACACTGCTGAGGGGAGCAGTGGGGGAGGCAGGAAAGGTCTGCTGCGCCATGTGGGTATGTATCTCCCTGGCTGGCCAGGAATTGAACCCACGCTGCAGAGGCTGCGGACAGCTTTACAACGCTGCGCTCAATCTGCTGTGACACCGGGGAGGCCTTTCTTTATTTTTAAGTGTCTTTTCTACTCACTACCCAAATACCCCGTTCTTCCACTTCCTTTCCTTGTCATTTCTGCCGCTCTTTATGCTTTAATATTTGAAAACATGGGGCGCATGCTACAACTGTATAACTGTTTCTTCAACTTTTAAAGTACTTGCTTATTTGAGATTTCAGCTTCTTTTCAGGTTTCCTCCCTGACTGTAAACTTTATAATCAAGTTTAATTTCTATGATTGAGTAGAACTGTTAATGCTAGTGAAAATACAGTAGAAACTTTTTAAAATGTTGCTACTATTTCTATTTTATATTACAAAATTCTTGACAATGACTCAGAACTGTGTGTGAAACTATTCTTCCATGTGTACAGACCATGTTATTATTTTCTTTAATTTGCTTTGATAGTTTGCACAATTAAAGTATAATTGAACATCTTTTTAAAAAGATTTAAGGGCAGAACATCTAAGAACTCTATATGTACAGTGAATTCCAGATGTTTAAGTCACAGTGCAGGAGTACCAGTAACAACTTTATAAAAATCTGTGTCATTTGCATCCCAGAGGTTCCAACTGAAATTATATTATTTATTCATTACTATTATGTTGCTTAAATGTTTAGAATATGTTGTTTAAAACAATGCTATAAATGAAAAAGAAATGTTACTGAGAAAATTGGGAGAGAAAGTAAGGGAATTTCCAAAAATTTTTCCATCTCTAAATATGGAGACTGGTCTACATAAGAGTTTGTGTTAACATTTTTTATGTTCATTTTAAATGAGTTGTGCTAATATATAATAAATTCATTAACAAAATATTATCTTTAGGGACAATTATTTATTGAGAAAAGAATAGAAATTCCTGTTTTAAAAGAGTTGGCACAATATTATCAAGATTGGAAGTAACAATTTGAGGTGACAGTATACTTGATGTTTTGAAGGAAAACTTTTGCTTATATTTTTATGACATATATTTCCAGAGGGAAAATTTAGAAATAGTTTCCTTAACACATAATACATTGAAGAATCTCTACTAAATATGTCTTTCATAATCAATTATTATAAGTTTTATATTCTCTCTGCTCTATTATAAGTAAGAACTGAAGGAAGAAAAACCCTGGGCACATAGAAATATGACATTTTCAAGTTCATTAAAAATGAACATACCATCTGGAATTGGCCTGTTGTTTCTTTTTGTGTCTTGTCCCAGGAATGAACGGTAAAATAAAATCACACCCCTCCTGCAATTCCCAATAACTATGTATTGTGTAAATAACCTGTATCTTCTTTTTCAGAATATACTGTCTCTCTTCATAATTAATATTATTGAAAATTGCTAACGTTCATTAGTTCTTGTAATAAAAAGTTACTGACTTTCTTAAAACATTTTTCTGACTTTTAAACCCTATCAAGTAACAAAAATGCCTTGAATTTGGTCCTTACTGTCACTATAATATGGTGAAAAGAAAATAAGAATAGAGCTAGAAAAGAAAAACCAGGAATAGAAGAGAAATTCACAATCAAATGTGGGTTTACTTTGTCATTAGAATCTTCTGGAAATTATGGTTAGTGTTGATGGGTATCTATCAAACAGTGAGAATAAGTTTAAAGAATATTTTTGAGATCCTATAATGGTAGGGAACTGAAACTGGTAAGCACAGTGCATTAAGCTTAAGTCAATTCTGCTTTAGCGTGGTTAATGTCTGGTTATAAAAATAAGATAAATATGAAGCCAGCTTTTAATGCTAGCTATTATAGTACTCTAAGCCAACAATTATGTTAGGTATAAGGAAATAAAGATAAGTAATAATTAACACTTAAATAGGGCTTAATATGTGCCAAACTTCTGACAACCACTTTTCACAGATGATCTTATTTAATCTTCACAACAATCTTATAAGTGATAGATACTATTATCCTCATTTTTCCCAATGGGTAAATTGAGACTTATACAGGTTAAATAAGTTGCCCAAAGTTGAATAAATATAAGTTTGAGAAACTTCATCTTAACATCTGTCTGAAAGTATAGTCATAAAGAGTAAGTCTGTTTCTAATTATTTCAATTTTTATGAAATAAATAAAAGCCAGATTGGCTTGGTATTTAGCAGAAGTTGCTGAACTCGAGGGGGCTTTGAACCAAAGGGCTCATCTGTGAAGTACTTTTGAATCTTTATGTTGATGTTTGCTTTAAGTCATCTAATTCTTATGGATCCTTGAAGCTAAGAGGACTTTTCTGATTTTTATATTCAATTTCATGTGCCTTGCACATAATGTTTGTTAGTTGTCTTTCTCTCCCACTCATTTGTAAGCTCACACAAAGCAGAAGCCCTTGTAGTTTTATATTCAGCAAAATGCCTGCCAATATTGTTCATTGAACAAAATGCCTGTCAAATAGTGTTCAATGAATGAATGATGGGTATTTTACAATTGTTTTTAGTATGAATGTTCTTTTGGTCTTTCCTGTTTAGATTCTTCAGTTCCAAGTTCTGGTATACAAATATAAAACAAACAAAGGCAGAAAAATCTGTTTTCAAAACAGAAGTGCAAAGCCTTTTCTTAAGTGTGATGACATTAACATAGAGTGACATCTGGTGGTTGCCTGCCAGGCAATAAGTGTTCAAATAGTGAATATAAAAAATTCTGTAATAATTAGACTTCTAGATATAACAAGAAAAACATAGTAGAAGATATTAAAAGAAAACACTACCCTCGCCCCGAACCCCCGGGAAAGTTAAAGGAAATGCTGATTGTGGGTTTACACTCAAACTCGACACGTTAAAAAAAAAAAAAAAAAGCAGATTCCTTAAGAAAATGGTTTTCACGAAAATATTAACCTACCTAATTGGTACCGCGGAAAACGAATTGATTTATAATGAAGAGAGATCCTGACTTGAGATGAGATGCCACTTTATTGGGGAAAATAAACTTGAGATTTCCGTATATTGTAAAGCCTTCGGATTAGAGAAGATTTTATTCACCAGGCAGGGTATCTTTAACGTTCCTCGGAAAATTCTGTTGGTTGTGTGTTTGTTTGTGGCGGGGGTGGGCGTAGTGGCTATTTGTCGAGATCGTAGGATAGTCAGTGGACAGAAATCCTTGACCCACCTCACGGCCTTCGATTGAAGCATCTGGGCGCGATCTCTTCGGACTGGCCCGATCGCACGCTCGGCCTCAGATTGATCGAGCCTGCCAAACGGAAAAGGGCGGAAGCGCGCTCTTTCAAACTTGCCGTCCTTACGTCGATGAACGCAGGCCACTTCCGGCGTAGCCATGGCGGCTAACGCTACCACTAACCCGTCGCAGCTGCTGCCTCTAGGTAATTTTCATCCCGTAGGGAGCGGGAATGGGTAACTGAAGCTTACGGTTGGGGACCGAGAGGCCAGAAGCTTAGGGCTGTGGACCAAGGCAGTCTCTGCCGAGTGTTAGGAAACTCTCTGGCACCAACTGTTCCCCCCTTCGCAGTCGCTCTCTAGGCTCAAATCTCTGCGGCCCCCGACGCCGCGTCTCCTTAGCGGGGTGTGGGGTTCCCCGAGGCAGGGACTTGTTACTCTGCAAACCAAACCGTCACTAGAAAAAGTCCACACTTTGTGAATGCATCACTGCCCGTCTTTGTTGTGAGCTCGCCTTTGTGGCCATGGGTAGCAGTCCCATTCCTTAAACTGGCCTTTTAGTGCCTCAGGCCAGACCTTGTCGTCTCTCTTGCTGGGTTTTGAGAGAAGCACCAGGGTCTGGCTTGAACCGTAAAAGAAGAATCCGGAAAAAGTTTTCGTCATTCATTCTTTCATTCAGCAGTTATCTGTGTACTAGGTACCGTGGGTTGGGATTATATAACTTCATATTCTTTAAAAAAGATTTCTTTATTTATGCATACAAGAACTGGGGGACAGGCCAGAGGTACGGGGGTGGTGGTAAGAGGATTCACCAGAGACAGAGGAGGGAACAGAACAGTGGATCTACTGAAATACACTGCTGAGGGGAGCAGTGGGCGAGATAGGAGAGGTCTGCCGCGCCATGTGGGTTTCTGTCTGGCAACCGGGGATGGAACTCTTGCTGCAGAGGCTGCGGACTGCTTCATAGTGCGGTGCTTAACCCTTTGCACCACCAGGGAGGCCCAGGGATTATATAACTTTAAATCACGGCCGTTGCCTTCCAGTAGCACACAGGCCAGTGGACAAGAGAGGCTACTAAACAAGTAAACATTCCAAATAATGCTAAGCCGGTTAAAGAGATACCCAAGTTGCTGTCACAACAAAAGGGTAATGACAGGAAGGAATCTGGTGAAGACATTTATACCTTTCTATTCCTAATCTTTTGTAGCAGAAAGGTGATTGAGTCAGTGGTCAAGACAGTGAAAAGTTCTCATTCCTTCATTTGACAAAGCGTTTTTTTTTTTTTTTTTTTTGAATTCCTACTTTATGTCAGGGACTGCCCATTAGGGATACAGTAATGTGGAAAAAACAACTGTTGTTGCCACTCTCACAGAGCTTAAGGTCTAGCGTGTTAGTGAAATAATTTAGACCACCAGGGAGCCGGCGTTAGTGAAATAATTTAAAGTAGTATAAAATCACACTCACAATAATTTCTACAAAGGAGGTAAGTGCAGAGCAGAGAGCTTTTCTGTTAACGATTGAACAGAGATATGTAATGTAACATCTAAAGTATTGTTATGAATGCTTTCCCTGTTTTATCTTTCACCATATCCAAGTAACATGCACCAGTAGTCACTCAAATATTTGTTGAAGTAATGAAGGATAAACTAACCTCTTCTCTTCCCTCTCCCTTTTTTTTCCTTTTTAAAAATTACCTCCATAGAGCTTGTGGACAAATGTATAGGATCCAGAATTCACATTGTGATGAAAAGTGATAAAGAAATTGTTGGTACGCTTCTAGGATTTGATGACTTTGTCAGTATCCTTTTAAAAGGTGGTGGTCATAAGGGATTTTCTTTGGTATTTAAGAACAGAAGAAGTAAGGGCTATAATAAGTACCTATAGATTATTATAATACAAATCAGTTTATCCTCAGGGAACTTACAGCATTTTTAGAGTTGTGTGTGTACTTAAAGTTCGTACTAGTTACAGGTATTTTGATTTTGAGCTATTGTATTAAATGTTATAATTAAAACTGAACAAAGGGACCAGGTATTTGAACCAGGTATATTTATTTTCTTTCTTTCCTTTTTTTTTTTTTTAAGATATTTATTTATGCATACAAGAGCTGGGTTACAGGCCAGAGGTGTGGGGGATGAGAGGATTCACCAGAGACAGAGTGGGGAACAGAACAGGTGGATTGACTGAAATACATTGCTGAGGGGAATAGTGGGCGAGACAGGAGAGGTCTGCTGCACCTTTTGGGTTGCTCCCTTGCTGCCCAGGAATCGAACTCATGCTGCAAAGGCTGGGGATTACTTCATATTGCGGTGCTTAACCCATTGTGCCACCAGGGAGGCCCTATGTTTATTTTCTTAACACCAAATTTCAGATATGGTACTGGAAGATGTCACTGAGTTGTAAGTAGTGTTAAAAATAAAGAATTGGGGGAAATCTTTTTAACATTTATGTAGTTTTGTAATGTTACATCAGTGAAATGAATTATGAGATAACATTGCCTGTTGGAATGTCCTTAAAGATAGAAATTTTATTTACTGACACCAGTAAAATCAGATCAGAGTGTTATTTCCAGAATGTAATTATTAAATTGCTATGAATTTAAATTGCTATGAATTTAGTGGAGACAAAGCTTTCAAGTAAACAATAATAAAAATAGCCAGGAGTCTTAGAACTCAGGTCAAATCAAAGAACTGATACTAAGAGTATGTAATTATATAGCATAAAATGTTAGTGGTGACTTGATCGTATTCATATTCATTATAGAGACTGTGATCAATATCTCTGCTTTTAAAATTGAATTTATTACAGATTGGTTTAATGGATAAGAATTAGTAGTAATAGTAAAAAAAAAAAAAAGTAAAACTTTTTTTTTCTTTTTTTTTTTTTTTTTGGTCTCCTTGGCAAGTTTAAACATTTTTTAAAATGAAGATCAGGCCTAATGGGTGTGGATCTAGTCCAGTCAGTTCATTCTGTTGTCTTTGGGGAAAAGTGTATATTATCCAGTGGATAACCTCTGTCTCTGAAAATTATTGATATAATTGCCTGACCTCATATTCACTTGTATACAAGAATAACCATTTTAGGGATTAAAATGTTGCTTTCATTATCACTGTCTATCCTGACTCTTTTATCTTATCTGTTTAGTGAGATCACACCAGAAGGAAGAAGAATTACTAAGTTAGATCAGATTCTGCTAAATGGAAATAATATAACAATGGTAAGACACAGTAAAGCTATTTATTTAGATGTTAGCCTATTTTCGTGGGACAGGGATGACAGAACTAACTTGATTGGCTAAATATTCATGGCCTAGAGGAACTTAAGATGGGAAAGGGGTGCTGTGTTGGTCAGGACTCTAAAGCTGAGCTTTTGAAAATGACATCAACCCTGAGGATTTTTTGCCAACAATCATAGTTGAGACACAGTATTAATTAATGATCTTGGGAATTGTAAACAAATAAGGATGACCTGGAGAAGATGGGAATGTGAAGGAGGGACAGAGAGGCAAAAGTGATTTTGGTGGTGGAGGAGCTCTCAGCGCTAGGGTTTTGAGGTTATGTGGTTGCAGTGGTCGTGGTGATAATATACTTTTTTTCCTCCTATGCAGCTGGTTCCTGGAGGAGAAGGACCTGAAGTATGAATGGATTTCCTTGACTTAATGCTAGATTCTGTTTTGTCTTAAAATGACAACGAAATAGAAAATTTGTTTTAACCTTTTTGGATTCTGTGAAGCTAAGTTTCCCGTTAAAGGGAAATGCTTTGAAAATGCATTGTAAATGCCCATTTTTATAAGTTAATCATGATTATCTCAGAAAAAGAGCGGTTTGTTCTTTATAGACTAAAATAAAGGTGTTTTTGGTTAACTGTCGCTTTCTTATAATAACCAATGGAACAAAGATTATAGTTACTTTGTCACTTGCTTTCTTGCCATTTTGGGCCTTTTGCTTCCTCATTTATATGCTCATTTGATTCTCAAACAAAAGTTGTTCCAAATGATGAAGTTTGGTGTTGAACACGTGCATTTAAAAAATTTGAAATGATTTCTTATTCAGTTCAAACTGATGTTTTGTAATGAGGATTTTTCTACTGGCCTCAAATTCTATTAACTTTTATAAAAATAAACAAGCAGAATATACAGGTAATATATGCATGTTATAGAAATGCAGAAAAGCAAAAAGAAAATACTCACATTTTGCTTTATAAGTCCTTTTAGATTTTTTCAGTACACTCTATGAACATTTTATTTTTACAAAAACTTGAACACACTGTTTTGTATCCTCCATTTAAAACTTTTTGAATTTAAATGATGGACATTTTTCCATGTCAAATATGTCAGCAACATTAATGTCTACATTTCATTAAATGGATTTCTACTTTTTTTTTTTTTTTTAGCATATTCTCATTATTGACCACAATAATTTGACCAACTCTTTGCACCTTTTTTTCCCCCCTTAGGATAAAGTAAACATTTTTAATAGGTTACTCTAAGTCATGTATTTTGCAGATGATTTCCCTGGTTGATTATTTCTAGTAATGGTGGTTTTTTGGACTTAAATAATGTATATAGTTGTATGTTTATGTTATTCTGTATGGTTTTGTCTGTCATATACATGAATTAGAAAGACCTCATTTGCTCTGTTTATATGGTTTTCTGTTACTTTTGTTTTCTTTGTTTCATTTCGATCTTTTAAAAAAATATATTTATTTATTTATTTATTTATGCATGTGTAGAAGAACTGGGGTGGTAGGCCAGCAGTGCAGGGGGTGAGAGGATTCACAAGAGACAGAGTGGGGAGCAGAACAGATGGATCTACTGAAATACACTGCTACAGGGAGTAGCAGGCAAGACAGGAGAGGTCTGCTGCGCCATATGTGGGTTAACTCTGTGGCTGTGGATCCAATTCAGGCCCTCGTGGTGACAGACTGAGACTTAACACCTAGGCCACCAAAGAGGCCCAGTTTCATTTCAATCTCTAATCCATCTTCACTTTAGTGTTTCCATGTGAAAAAAGGATCCAACTTGTTTTTTCCCCCCAAAAACCAGAACTGATTGGTCCTTTTATTTTTTTCCCCATGATGTAAGTGCTACTGGCTGATTACAAGCTGCTGAAGGTTTAACAGCTGGCTTGCAGACTTTGCAGAGATTTAACAGTCTATTGTCAGAAGGTGGCAGGAGCCTGTTGCCCCATACCACTCTGCTTTTGATCCTTGTTGGAGAGGCATGCTTTTCCTCCTGTTGCTTCTTTAACTTGGGGGAAGATTAAATAGTGTAATACAGTTCTTTCCTCTTTTACCTCCTCTCATAGGGGAGTTGGACAATCATGCTCAATTCTAACTTTTCTCCTCACAGGAATTAGTTTCTTGCAGGGAGCACATGTTCTAAGCTTTAACATTCTAGGAATTTAGAGGAGCCTGGCCTCACTTTGGGAGGCATAAAGTTATCTATCAATAGCTTGTGGCTACTACTGTGTTTCAGTAATAGGAAGTTTGATTGCTTACAGATGAACTGTAAGGTCTAACTCACATAAGCATATACTTTTATATTACAATTTGTTCAGAATGAGTACTAAGTAAGGGTTTCTTAACCTTGGCACTATTGACATTTTTGTCTGGATCATTCTTAGTTGTGGGGCTGTCCTGTGTATTGTAGGATGTTAGCAGTATCCCTGGTCTCTGTTAGATGCCAGCAATATCCTTCCTCTTCCTTGCCCCCTCCATTTGTGTCAGAAAATTACTCTAGGTATCACCAAATGTCCACCGAGGGCAAAATAATCACTTGTGGTTAAGAACCATCATTCTAAATTATAGGGATGCTATTTATTTGACTCTCAAAATCTCTTAATACATGTGTGAGGAATCATGGTTCTTGACAAATAAAAATTGGAGAGAAAACACTGTGACCAAGCATTCCAAAAATATAAAATAGGTGGTGGTATGCTGAAGTGCTATATTTGGTGCTAACCATATAGAATTTTCACTTTGGCAGGTTGCTGGTGAGAGGCTGTTTTTATCCAGGTGTTACTTCATTTCTGTGAAGGCAGCGCTGCATATGATTCCACCCTAAAGTGAAGGTGAGGCCTTAGCGCAACAAGTAGAAAAGGCAGAAGCTCTGCTGGCTTTGGTGACTTGGGTCAGTTTTTCTTAAACTTTGGTTTGGAATCAGAATCACTTGCAGATGTACTAGAGAACATAGAGGCCCATGCTTGTAAGGTAGGGTCTTACACCTGACACCCGTTGCCTTAAAATATAGGCTGTTGCAGGTGTAACTTTGAAAACAGGTGTGACTGAAACAAGGATTTGATTATAGAGATGAGAATCTGTCAATTTTTTTTCCCATTTGCAGAGCTTTTGTACATTGATGGGTAGAAGAGTATTTGCTTCATTTAAACTGGAAGGCAGCTAAGTTCTGTGTATGCGGTAGAGTACTAGTGGAGTATTAGTTTATATATATATATATATATATATATATATATAGTATTTAAAGAACAAGTTTATTAGGAGAGGGACAGAAAAGTAAAGTACAATTGCATAGACACAAGCAGGCAGGAAGAGCTGCCCCGAAATGGACAGGTTTGCTGAGAGAGGTCAGCATGGTTGCAGGCGGGCGGCCTTGAAGAGAGCTGCCTCCACTGAGGGAGGTCAGTAAAGAGAAATCCCAGCAGGTATAGGTCACAGGCAGGCGGGAAGCTGCTGCCCTGCAGAGGAGAGAGTTGGTGAAAGAAGCACCTGCATAGTCACAGGTGGGCAGAAGGTAGTGCTGCTTAGTTTATATTATTAATGCCAGATCTGTGCAGGTAATGATCCATCTGTTGCCACAAATACCAGACTTTGATCTGCACCAAGGAGGAACTTGCAGAGGGGCAACCTTGGATTCTCACGACTTGTCCTTAGGTTTGGGGGTTACTCCCCATCAGTATGGGCTCACTTTTGTTTTTGAGGGTTGATTTGTTGATTACATTCTCTCTGGCCATGTCTTAAGATTTCAAAGTCTAGTGTTTTTTCCTATGTGGAGGAATATGAATTAGTGTAACACACCTGGCCATTCTCTGTCACTTTGTTCTCTCTACCCCTGGACACATGGAGTGACTTAACTGATTTAATTTGGGGAAAGGGAAACTGGGCACGTTTGCCTCGTTTCTTCTTAACTCTTAAAGTTGAATTGTCTTCAGGGAGTATATTTCTGTTTTGCTATTTGTTACAGGATTTATTTAGGGGTCTGCATAAAGACATGAAGAAATCTGGGGTGGGCCAACAATGTTTGGTGGATAAATCTGAATAATTCAGGAGTTCCATATTTAGAAGTTAAGAATCCACATATGCGCTACATCATTGAGCTATCCTGTGTCAGTAATGAAAATATTTTGACCCGTGTCCACCATTTTGCCTTTTCTCTCAATTGGCTCAGAACCCAGATGTGGAAAGGAGGTGCTGATTATTGGTTCCATAAAAGACCCCAAGAGCCCTCAAGTCTGTATTAACACAGTAACCTCCTGTTTCTCCCCAGCTGCCTCCTATATCACCCCATCACATCTGTCCTGCCCAACTATCAGAGCTCTTGAGTGATTTATCTGAAATGTGTATATGGTTGTGCCATGCTAAGGCTTTCAAAACTTTCAGTAACTTATTCTCTGTACAGCAAGAACCCAAGTTCCATAATAGAATACCCTAAGGGATACCTGTTGACTTTGTCAACCACATCTGCGTCTTGTCTTAGTAACACAGGATTTGTAATGCTGACTGCTATCCCCTACTTCCCTATGAATTTTTGCCTTTTTTTCATGTTGGGGTCCTGTGGCTCCTTGACTCCAGATTTTCTTTACTTGGTTTCTTTTTTTTTTTTTTAATATTTATTTATGCATACAAGAACTGGGGTACAGGCCAGAGGTGCGGGGGTGAGAAAATTGGGGAACAGAACAGGCAGATCGACTGAAATACACTGCTGAGGGGAGCAGCGGATGAGTTGGGAGAGGTCTGCCGCGCCATGTGTGTAGCTCCCTGGCTGGGGATTGAACGTGTGCTGCAGTGGCTGCGGTGAGCTTCATAGGTTGCATTTTAACCCCTTGCACCACCAGGGAGGCCCTACTTGGTTTATTTCTATCCAACGTTTTAAGAGTAGGTTCAGTGTCCCTTCTAGAAAGTCCTATAAGATCCTTCACTTCTCAGTGCTTATGTGTCATGGAGATTTGTAGCATCTTTCCATTACTATTTTGGGCAGCTGCTTCCTTCAAAAAAAAAAAAAAAAAAAACCCAAAAACCAAACCAAAAAACAGCCTCAAGCATTTTGTGCCATGCGCAGTCCCAGGTTTCAAGGGAACAAAGACTACTGGACCAGAAAATAGAATCTGCTCTAGTTTTACCACCACCAGCCGTACAATCATCTGAATGTCTTACATTTGGCTAGCATGGTTGCATGACAAAATTGGACTCTGCCATTAACAGGGAAGATCAGTGAGAGAAACTTGGGGAGATTCAGCATGGTCCTGGTGCGCTGAGTCCTACTTGCTAACATCTAAGAGGTGGAACCAGTGCGGATCTCAGGTCAGCCTGATGCCCAAATCCATACTCTGCCTGCTACAGCACAGTGCTCATGAGGCTGGAACAAGGAATAACTGGGCAACGGACTTACTGTACTTTATCCAAGGTTGACCCTGACTGAATCTTTCGTTACTAGACATTTCATTCTTGAATTTAATAAAAAAAGCAATGTATGACATTAACTGGCCACCAGAGGGCACTGTGAAACAGCCAGTTGCTGAAACCAGGGCTTATTTTTCTCCCCTGACCCTACATTTGAACTCAGGTTTCCGGTCTTCTAATTATTATGGGATCATACCACACAAGCAAGTAAAGGGTTGACTCAATACCATTTTATGCTTTTTGAAAAAGAGGGATATTTTTCATTCATATTTTCTACACAAGATGCCTTTTCTGTGAAAAATCATCCTTAAGTGTAATGAAGATTGAAAACATGGGTTCTAGGCTTCCTGACTTGTCCTAGTGGGTTCTTTGTTAGAGCTGCTAATAGAAAGACGTCTTCAGCACTGTGTCTTAAGCAGTGACTAAATTTCTCTACTGGCAGCTATGCCGCAGCCCTTCCTTCTTGCTCAGTCTCTCTCAAAGGGCTCCTATAACACTGTTTCCTCCCCTTGTCCCTTTAAGTCCTGGATAGCAATGGCCTCCACATTTCTTTTATCTGGTTGCCTCCCTATTATTCACATTTTTCTTCTTTTTTTAATAAATATTTTATTTATGCATACAAGAACTGGGGTATAGCCCAGAGGTGCAGGGGTAGGGAGATGGGAGGATTCCAGAGACAGAGTGGGGAGCAGAACAGGCAGATCTACTGAATATACTGCTGAGGGGAGCAGCGGGAGAGACAGGAGATGTCTGCTGCACCATGTGGGTTAGTTAACTCCCTGGCCGGGTATTGAACTCATGCTTCAGTGGCAGGTGATAGTGCTGAGACTTAACCACTTGCGCCAACAGGGAGGCCCTCACATTTTTCTATATTGCCCGAACCTCTGTAAGTCATCTTAACTTTAAATGATTTCTCTTCCTCTGAACGGTGCTGGGACCCAGATCAGTCCAACACTCTAGAAGACATGCTGGAGCTTGGCCTTGGCAAATGAGCAGGCATTTGTGTGGCAGATAAGAGGGAAATAGGCACTCCAGACAAAGGGAACAGGCATGGAAGTGGAAGGATTTGGCACTTGGGGCTGTGATGAGGGTGTGGGGTAGCTGGAATATAGGGTGCTGCTGAAAGTAGCCAGAACTGAATCTTGGCAACATCTGAAAGGTAGGGTTAAAGGATTACCTTCTCTAAAGGACATGTGAGCATACTCTGACTTATAAAAGGAAGAAGAGAACTCTTGGAGGTTGTAGGTTCAGACCTATTCAGACTTAACCTGTCAGATTTGGAAGTAAGGTTGAAGGGACTGATTGCAGAAGTCATTAGATTTCATCACAGGGAAGAAAGGTGTGGAAAGTATGGTGAAGTGGTTTCATAACAAACGTGAGGGTCAGAAAGGAATAAAGATATTACGAGTCTGGTGACTATGCTTGAACTAAATCCTATTTGGACCCCCCATCCCTCCTCAAATGTATTCCTGAGCAGAAAAGGGCTTGTCTAAGGGAAAGAGAAGAGCTGCCTTCCTAAAACAAATCAAAACCACAGTGAGAGTTCATCTTCTACTGGTTAGAAAAGCTGTCATCAAAAAGCCAAAAATAAGATGTTGAGAAAAAGGAATTCTCCTTGTTCACTGTTGATGGAAATGTAAATTGGTGCAGCCACTATGGAAAACAATACGGAGTTTCCTTAAAACATTTAAAATGGAACTACCATATTTCCTGTTGACTAGAATAATATGTTGGAATAGAAGACCATGATCATGGTGTGTGAATCATAGACGCGGGGTTCTGGGCTCACATGCTTCTGCTCTGTGGGCAGGTGTCGACTGATTTCCTTTGAAGTATTTTCTGTTTCGTAATTACCACTTCTTCGGCCATAGGCCCCATTAGCACTTCCTCATAGCAACTCTGTTGTCATTGTCTTTAGCCAGCTTCATGATCAACATCTCATGGGGGCAGTAAGAAATGGGAAGGACCTTATTTTTCCCTCTACTGAGTTGCCTGGGGAGCATCTCTTGGTGATTGCAGCTGAAAGTGTGACATTTAATTAGTGGAGAAAATTGTGTCAGGCAAGAGGCAACCTGTGCTGGCAAGAGAGTGAGAAAAGTTTGGGGAAATTACTATTCAGTTGGGTAATTTGGCCAGGTTTTCTCCTAGATCCAGGTCTTGTGTTCACATCATCTTGGGTAGAGATGATAGGCATTCCTAGTTTATTTCCAAAGAGACAGCTAGAGGCTCCAGAAGCTTACGTTTTCTGCTGTAGTGGGAAGCACAAATGAACCCCCATAGACAACTAATTTCTTCTATTATGCCTGACATCTGTACAGGAAAATAAGTGATGAACTCCCAAGAGTTGAGGACCTTACCCTATGGATCCTGGCTTTATGCTGGTCTAGTGACTGGTGTTGATGACTCAGCTAGCAGTGAGATTGTGGTCACTCAAATCATAGGACTCAGGGTACAAAGAGTTTGAAAGGAGTTTACAGCACTACTCCTTGTAGATGAGGCACAGACCCCGAGAGTGCCTAGAGAGTGCTTGGTTTATCCACTCAGCTGCTTCACCCAGAGCTGACAGAAATCTGACCTATACTTATGCATGGGTGTCCTTGAGATCAGCTCTCCTAGTTTATTTCCAAAGGGCTATCCCTTCCTTACAGGTGCAGTACCACTGGGGTGATGCCTTGTGCTTCTGGGCCCCTTGGAAAAGGATGACACGTAACAGGAACCAAAGGGCACAGGGGATCATGGAGAGGGGCTTTGATGAGTTAGGAGCTGCAAAGGAAGGGGGCCTGAGAAGGAGTGTAA